ATTCCCACTTAGTTGAGATCTACCTTGTCTTCTGGATTGCTGAGTGTATGGCCTTTTTGATGTTGTTCCTTCCTTTATGAACCGTTTAAATTTTCTCACAAACATTGCAAATTGTTCATCAGTGAGGAGATCATTGAGTGACTTCTCTGTTGATCTTGATGTGCTAGGTTCAGACACTAAGGCTAGTGTCTTGATCTCTTCCTCCTTTTCATCCTTTATCTCTTTCATTTCAAACTCATAAGCTTTTAAATCACTAAAGAGCTTATCCGTTGAAAGACTTCTGAGATCTCTGCAATCTCTCATGGCAGTTACCTTCATATCCCATCTTGATGGTAGTCCTTTTAAAACTTTGCGAGAGATCTCTTTTTGGGAGAGAGTCTTCCCAAGATCAGAGACCTCTGCAATAATTTTAAGAAATCTGGATTCCATATCATGGATGGATTCATTTGACAACACTCTGAAATCTTCAAACTTCTTGAGAGTAATAGTTAGTTTGTTGTCCTTTTTTTGTTCATCGCCAGTTCCAATCTTTGTTAACTCATCCCATACATCTTTGGCAGTCTCACATTTCCTTATCATTGGAAATATGGATTCATCAACAGCTTTGAAGAGGATGTCTCTGGCAACATTATCCAGATTGTTTCTCTTCCTATCTTCAGTTGTCCATTCCATTTTTGGTTTTGGAATGTACATATCATCTGTTCCTTCAGTGGTTCTGGATGTGATGACCTTCATGATTTTGATGGGTCCATCTGTGATAACTTCTAGCATTTCATCATGTAGGGCACTCAGATGAGCTTTCATTCTGATTTTCCAGTCATCAAATTTGTTGAAGTTGAACAGGAGATTTTTGGAAAGTTGATTGTCCATTCTTGGAGGTTTTGGGAGACGAGTGAGTTTTGGATCTTTAGTTCAAACTTAGTTAGAAACTTACTCTAGGAACACCTGCTCTGATACCACTTGTTGGTCCCTGATAGAGGTAAAAGTCTAGAGGGGGGGGGGGTGAATAGACTTTTAAAACTTTTTGAACTTTTAAAGAATTTCCCTCATAGATATGATGATCAGAAATCTTTTGGGAAATTAAGGATAGCAACGGAAGTCATAACCTCTTATTAGACTGTGAATGGTAACTTTCTTTTGAGACGATAAGAAGGAAGAAGTATTGGGATTTTGGACAACTTATCTTTGGTCAGAGATCCTTCAGTAAGGTCTTCTGATGACCTTGGGTCAGAGACCCTTCAGCGAGGTCTTCTGATGACCTTGAGTCAGAGACCCTTTAGTGAGGTCTTCTGATAACTTTGGGTCAGAGATCCTTCAGCGAGGTCTTCTGATGACCTTGGGTCAGAGACCCTTCAGCGAGGTTTTCTGATAACTTTGGGTCAGAGATCCTCCAGCTAGGTCTTTTGATGACCTTGAGTCAGAACTCTTCTCAGGATTTTCTGTAGTTTGAGAGAAGTGTTCGATGTGAGCTTTGCTAACAAAAATTAAATCAACAAACGATGTATCCTGGTTCAGAGGTGGTGTAATCCTCCTACATCCAGTCCCACCCTCTTTCAGATGGATTTCCACTAAAGTATTCAACCCAATACAATTAGTGACGGTCTGACTATTATCACCAACTTGTTCAGACTTCAAGGTGTTTCACTAGGAGTACACACCACTCCAAGCTACTTAATCCTTTAGGTTTTTCTCAATTGATCCAGTGGGGATCAAAAGGTACTCTATCCTATTCTACCACACTTAAGGACTTAGCTGACGCTATTCTTATACGTGTTTACAACAGTTTCAATATGAAACAAATTTCTAGCCTCCAACTAAAAACTAAACTTTCTGAGTATATCAATGAGGGTTACTGTCTAGAGAGTTTAGTGAAGCATGAGTCTAAGCAGAGAGCAGAGTTTAATGAACACTTTCTTTTGCTGGATATCTTCTTTGAATGCGTAGTATGATTTCTCTGCTTAGTGAACTCAGGAGCTTGTTTTTCTTCTCATGCTTATGCCTGAATTTATAGGCATCTCTGGTTGATTAATCTCCTCCGTTGGTTGAGAGGATTCAATCTTTGTCGTTGAGGCTTTTTGTACTTTCGTCTTCTTGTGTTGGAGCAGCTTATCTTCAGACACAATTGGATCAACTTGCTTCGCAGGAAATGTAAACCCATTGCTTAGGCCTTTCACGTACTATTCACCAGCTAGTGGGTTTTTGTCTTCTCATGCAACTCTGCGTGTTGTAGTGTCCCATGCTTTTGTAGATGCTCTGGCCTTAGGTAAATATTGTGACCTTGGTCTTTCTTTGACAAATAATTTTAACTGGTAGGAAAAGAATCCTTTTTAAGGTAATTAAAATTACCTTATTGCATTTTATATTTCCAGTCAAGTTTATGTGTTTCCGAAAGTGTACAAGTAAGATTGGTCACAATTGTACTAGTGACAAGAATAATTCTATAACAAATAAAAACATACTGGATGGATTTGAATATCCTTGCAAGGTAGAATTTTACCTTATTGTATTTTAAATTTCCAGTATATTTATTTGTCATAAAATTTGTACATTTTAAATTTTGTCACATTTACAAAGTATTCTTATCTAAGCAATTTGAGAGCATACTACTGTTTGCAAAATGAGTATACAATTTTCACAATAGAATCTAAACACAAGAGAAGGATATCATCATCAAAACTATTTCTTACAATAGTAGGTTACATCAAAGTCTGAGGGACCTAACACATCTCCTGTTGACGTTGATAGAGAACTTGTTGTTCTTGCTCCAACAGACGGGGATGGAGAATATCAAAGGGAAAGTTGTCCGGAAATAAAGAGATCGTGATAACCAGGGAAGCAAACTCAGGACCCAAACCAGAAATAATAGTCCGAAGCAACTCTTTATCTGACACAATAGAATTGATAACAGCAAGACCATTAACTAGATTTTTAATGTCCCTCAAATAATGTTCCATGGACTGACTGTTATTTTTTTCATGTTGGATAATAATCGTTTAAGTTCCATACGACGCGAGGTAAACTAGCAGACATGAATCGAGTCTGAAGTCTTTCCCAGATCGCAAAAGAATGTTTTAATTTATGAACATCATCTAAAACTTCACGAGTAAGAGTAGCAAAAATCCTGCACTGAATGGTTTGATCTATTCGCTAATGATAATATTCAGAATTAGTAACTTGACGATTATTAAAATCAGTGTTATACATGGAGAGGGGGGCACCTGAATAGAGCCATCTACCATGTCAAAAAGACCTTGAGTCACCAAGAATGATTCAAATTGCATGCGCGAGGTAAGGTAATCCTAAATGGCCATGAGGTTAATGGCCACAATTTGCGAGATAGCAGTAATATGAGATATGGACAGAGCAAGTGATGCCATCAGAGAGACCACGGTGGGCGCAGTAGGCCAAATGACACTTGGTGAACCAGAGAACCTGGAGCTATAAAATGGAGAAGACGGCACCGACGGAGGAGTCACGAAAGACGGTCCAACAAAGGTCTGCCACGGGAATCGAGGCGGCAAGGACTGGAAAAGCGAGTAGGGTTCCATTGTAGAGAACAAGGGTGGCGGCGGAAAACTGGTGAACAACGTGGAGGAGCCCGGCCGCGAGAGTGTAGAACCCACTGCGCCAGAAACTTGAGCCGTGGGCATCGAGGAAGAAAAGCCCTGCGACCCCGTCGTGGTGGTGACAGAAGATGACATCTTGGGCGCCACGCTAAAGGAGGCTACGACGGAGGTTTGGACGCCGGACGAGGGGACCGCAGCGGAGGAGACATCGTGGTTATCATATCTTGGTGGCGGCGATTTATTCAAGAGAGAAAAAAAAAGGTTTGGGATCTTGATACCATGTGAAAATGTGAAATAATGGGAAAGAGTTATTGCCTTGGGAGCCCTGACAGGTATATTTATAATAAAATATGAGTTGCCAAAATACACAAGAATTCCTAAAATATATCAATTATATTAATACTCCCTTTGCTCATTCTAGAGTTGTCACTTTCCTTTCTTGGACGTCCCATATAAAGTTTTTTAAATCACAATTTAATCATCTATCAGATCAAATGTTACAAATAATACATTTATAACATTATATAGTTATTATCAATGACCTCATTATATTATATACATATCACAACTATTTCTCAAAATACACTTGGGTTACCTATTTAGTTATTGTCTAAATAATTGTGTCATTTTGCAATGAGAACATTTAAGTGGGACGAGGTAGCTATATAATATGTATATGTATTTTTTGAAAGTTTGTGGGGTCCCGGGTCCCGTGGGACACAAAGCCAATACTTTTCGGTGCACGCCACATTACCCATACGGCCATACTGTAGTATAAACACCCATATTAGAGGCTTGGACATGGGTAAGGCTACGTTGGGCTCTCCGACTGTGGAGCCGTGGAGGCAGGGGCGGAGCCAAGGAGGGTCAGGGTGGTCATCCGACCCCACTGAAGTTTGAGAGTATAGAGCTCTAAAATATTTTCGGTTTGATATATTATGTCCCCCATAACTCATTACGAGTAAAAACTTATGACTTCTGCAAAATCAGCACTATCTAAACGTAAAATTAACAAAATTTGATGCATATTTTAGATTATTTTCCCAAATTTTAAAAATAGGGTATAAATCACTCAATACTTACGTGACACGACTCAGAAATAGAGCAAAAACAAGATATCTTTTTGCCACGAGTGCCTATTTATGTAAACTGCATATGAAATATTCAAATTAGACATTGTTTAAAAATGATCAAACAGTTCATTCTGTATATAGTTTGAGTTTCGACCCCCCTGAACCATTTTCCTGGCTTCGCCCCTGCGTGGAGGGATTAACTTCAACAGTCATTGTATTAAAGATATCATTAATTGGTAGTTACATACAAATATAATTATTGTTACAAAATATCTCCATGCAGGCATATCATTATTATGAATGGCATTGGTGCATGCGTATAGTATCTTTTTTAATTTAATTTGACAGGTTTATTTGGCAGCGTAAACATCGTATATAAAATGAGGGTAAAAGGTAAATACGATCGATACAACAAGCTAACTAGGTAGGAACAATTTTATACATTTTCATATCATTTGAAGTCGAACAAGATAACTAATCGCATTGGTGAATGAAAATGGAACCTGCGAATTGGGCAAGGCGTTGTTGTTTGGGTATTGGTGCTTGGGTTGTAGGGGGCATAGTGGTTGCCTCCCAGGTGTGGGACATATGGAATGCCTTTGGATTTTTTCTTCCAAAAGAACATATACATCTGCTGGATTTGATCTTTATGGGATTCTGCATCACTCTTTTTGCGATGCCAATTAGTGTAGTAATTATTGCACTAAAATATCGGGCATTTGGCCGTAACAGGTTTCCTTTGACGTCCTTGCTTTCCGCACTTGTATTCTGGTCTCTTAATAACGAGCCAAATCGCTTGGAATGGCTTCGAGTGCACTGTCTTCTTGCGGTGGATTTATTTTTGCAGGCCCTCGGGTTCCTCTGGTTTGCGGTTAAATACTTACACGCATCTCACCATCTCACGATCATTGTTGTATCCATTTTATCCCCACTTGCACTCATACTGCTTTGTTATTCCATCGCCATCATCACATATTTGCATAAACAATCGCCACCCATCGTCGAAGCTATGTAATTAATTTGTACGCAAGCTAGCAAATAATGGAGCCTATTTATAGGCCGGTCCTGATATTTTATGGGCCCGGGGCAAATGAAAAAAGAAGGCCCTTAAAAGGTTATATAAATATATTGCAAAAGCTTAACTTCATATACGCAAATTTCAACATACAAATTAATGTAAGTCTTTCATCAAAGTCTTAATACTATCGTATAATATATAAACTTAACGAATAAAAATTATATTAAAAATAAAAAATAAATCAGAGAATTACTTGTAAAATTGAAATTTCAAATTTGGAAGATATTTTTGAGAAAATTAGGAGAGTGTTGATTGCTGAGCAAAACGAATTAAAGTCCAAAGATGAAACCTTGAAATTAGGCCTGTCTAACGGGAAATGATGTCAGACCGGGGCCATTTGAGGCCCTTCCCGATAGAATTTTTTCATGAAATTTTATAAATATATTCTTCATGAAATCTATAATATCTCCACAAAGTTTCAGATTAAAATTCAACCTGAAAGTCAGTTAAATAAGTTATTGAAAGATAGTGCGCATTATTTATATACACAAAGCGCGGTGTGTTTCAATATTTTATTTAACTGACTTCCCGGTTGATTTTTAAACTAAAATTTTGTGAATGTAATTTACACTTGATGAAAAATACTCTAAAAAAGTTTCATTAAAAAATTCATCCATAAAGGGCCCTAAATGACCTCGGTCTGATATGAATTGTCCTCTCTATATTTATCCATTTATATATAATTATGGGCCCCTGTAAATGTTGGGCCCGGGGCACAAGCCCGGCCTGCCCTTGTCCAGGGCCGGCCCTGTTTATACGAGGGGCGGAGGCAGGGCCGGACTGGACCGATACAAAGAATATTTTTAGAGAAAAATTTACACGAAATTTTTTATCTTAAAAATTAAGCCTTTTTTAAAATTTGGGATGGGCCATGGCCTAGGTTGGCCCACCCCTAGCTCCGCCCATGATTTATACTACTTCAATTCTATAATTATAAGCTATTTCAATTGTATCATATATTCATACTCAGCTCCTTAAGTCCTTATTTGATTTGTTTATTTCTATAATGCCCAATTCCAAAATACTTAATTGCATAAAACATACTACCTCCCTCTTGAAAAAAAATGTTCTCATTTTTATTTTTGTGCCAATGGATGTTTTTACTTGGACTGTTTTCGAACCCAGAACAGATCAGACCAGATTCACTTAACTTCCGTAGTTATAAAATACATAGAGACCTGCCATTTAGCTGACCAGAACAGACTAAACCGTACCAGACCAGACTTAAACAGATCAGACCAAACCAGATCAGGCTCAAACAGTCCAAACCAAACCAGCAAATTACAGTCCAAGTAAAAACATCCTAAGAATCTTACATTTCTACAAAAAGAACATCGATCACTCTTAAACAACAAATCACAATTGTGTTTACTTTTTACTTAATTACTGCTAAGACTTTGAGTTCCATCCTAAAAGGTTGATAGGAGGAATAGTTCAGAGTCTTATATAATATTTTATTGTTCAGAGAAATGGGACCAAAAACGTTTGTAAATTCTGAACTAGGACTGTCATGTTTTTATTCCCAAAATAGGAGTAATTATTGATAGGAGGAATAGTTCAGAGTCTTATATAATATTTTATTGTTTAATAAAGTTTTCCGATATAGGACAAATACATTAACAATTAATTTTTGTTTAGTTTGACATAAAACTAGAGTATAATTTTTTTTTTGAACAAAAACAAGAGTATTTTTAGAAAGTCAACACAAATTTTATTTTACTTAAATACTACCTCCGTCCCATAATAAATTTTCAATTGCGGGTTACGAAGTTTGAACAACGATAAAGTTCAATAATCCCTGTGAAAATTGAGATTATTTTCCTTGAGAGCATCTCCAATGTTATAATGTGCACGGTGCACATGTGACATGAGTGATAGCCACATAAATATTAGCATATAAATTATATCTCTCCTTATTTGAATGATTTTATACAATTTTGGTAAGTTTTTCCCTGCAATGTCAAGGAGACCGTCTAGATGTTTACATTGTTGTTGTCATTGTAGGGAAAAACTTACTAAAACTGTATAAAATCATTCAAATAAGGAGAGAGATAATTTATATGGTAATATTTATCTGGCTATCACTCATGCCACATGTGCACCGTGCACATTATAGCATTGAAGATGCTCTGATTGGCTAGAGGTGATTTTAATGATCTCATGTTCCGTAAGATGCTATTTCGCTATATAAAATTAGGATTTATGAAGATTAATTAGGGAAATTCTGAACTAGGACTGTCATGTTTTTATTCCCAAAATAGGAGTAATTATTGTCAAGTTTGGAAAATACTGTCATGTTTAAAGTCTGGTACCATCAAAACATGACAGTAATTACTCTCATTTGGGAATTAAAAACATGACAGTTCCATTTTGAAATTTACAAATGTTTTTGGTCCTATTTAGAGTAAATTCTCGATTAATTAAAGAAGTTATGGACCCCCTAAGAGGTATTCCGTTGTACACTAGTTACTAGTACCGTAGACTCCGTAGTAGAATGAACTTTATGCAAAAAAATATGGGGTAATTGTTTTTGCTAAAGTGGAACTGTGGAAGTAATTGCTTAGAGACTTTAGAGTATGTAGGGCTGTGCGCCGGTTCAAAACCGGACCGGACCGGACCCAACCTTACCGGAACCGGAACCGGATTTGCCATGATATAGAAACCGAAAACCGGACCGGTTTATCCGGTTCAAAACCGGAACCGGACCGGAAAAACCGGTTTCTAAATAAATAATTTTTTTCTTTACTAAAAAAGCTACTAATCATTTGATAAAGATAGAGTACTTATTATTAAAAATATTAATTTTTTTTTCTAAACCCATTTTAATTAATTTTAGTGAGCAAATATTGAAGTAACTTGAGACTAGAATAATATATATGAGTTAGTTTTATTATTACGAGAATAAAAATGAATGGATGAATATAATATTAGGATTAGGATAATATATATTATAATTATTATGAAATTGATTGCTATTATATAGTAGTATTTTTATTAGCATGGAGTATTATTTTTTTATTTTATAACTATTATTATATTAGTATTAGTAAATATATTTTTAAAAATATAGCAAAACCGGTTAAATCCGGTTCAAACCGGAATAATCCGGTTTTAAACCGGAACCGGACCGTAAACCGGTTTCCTAAATTTTTATAACCGAAAACCGGACCGGATATCATTCCGGTTCGATCCGGTTCCGGTTTTTCCGGTCCGGTTTTCCGGTTTAAACCGGATAGTGCACACCCCTAGAGTATGAATGAATTAATAAGGTTTACGGAGCATTTACTTGATTTCATGATTAGTTAATTTGACTCTCAAAAATACTCCCAAATTTGACTCCCAAATTTGGCTCCCAAATTTGAGAGTAGAAAAGCCAAGTAAATTATAGCAGTGCTATTGAGCGCTATTACATAATAGCGCTTGCTATTGCCTCTATCTAGAGCAAACTGCTCCCAAACCATCCCAAACCACCTCAAATGGCCCAAAATACCTAATCTAACCCAAAACTTTAAAAAATTTCAAAAAAAAAAAAAAAAATTAAATTCCGGCCCGAACCGGGCCCGAACCGGCCGGGCCGGTTCACCAAAACATAGGCCCGAGCCCGAACCGCCCAAAGGCCGGGCCGGTTCGACCCGAACCGCTGGGCCCACCGGTTCCCGGGTCGGGCCGGGCTCAACAGTAACCGGGCCGGGCCGGTTCCGGATCGGGCCGCCCGGCCCGAGTCCATCCCTACCTCTATCTAGAGCAAACTGCTCCAATACAAAGGTTCTCGGTCCACTGCGTGCTAAAACGGCTCCATAGCAAAATTGAAATCACTTTCAGACTGTAAGTAACAGCTGTTTAATTTAATTACTTATTCAGTAACGGCTTATAAATGTACATAAGAGAGATAACAAAGACAAACATCGGCAGCTGCACGAGCAGCAGTACGAGCTGCTTCTGCGGCAACAATATCATTCTTTTCCTCATCAGACAATGGGAAATTCTGGCTTCCAACAACTGTAGTATTTTGCCTTCCTACCGAACCTTGAGAGAATGAGTGCTAGGTCCCCGTCCTTCCAACTTTGATGGCTTTAGCTCCACTTTTGTATAGTTTGAATTCAAGTGTACTTGGTCTCCAGCAGCAGTTACAATTCCCAAGCTTCGTTTGCTTTTGGGCAGGTGAGGAGGATCTATGTATAGACTATGGTGGACTGAAGCCCAGGGCAACTTAGATTTTTTTTTATTTTTTAGGGTAAATTTTCTCATTTTTTATATTTAGCCCACCCCGCAAATGTTTAAGTCTAGTATATTTCTTATTAAGCCCAGGGCATCTCACATTCTTGGATGGCTGGATCCGCCCCTGCTTTCAGGAGTCATGCAGGTCGTACGTTAAGGTGAGGTGATTTGCCAGATGCAATACCAGTTTTGGTGGGTGAGAAATAGTTGATTGCCTCAATAGTCTTAGACCATTAGAAGCCTTCTCCTTCCTAAATAATTCTATCCACACATTTACAAGCTGGCTTGGGATAGCACGAACATGACGGCTTGTATGCACACACACTTTTTCTTTTACAGTTTTCCGACTGCCTAGGTGAAGACAATGAAAAAAGTCACAAGAAATGGAAAGAAAATCACATGCAACAAAAGAAGTAAAAGTATAGCAGAAAATGGTGTCCAACAAAATAAGTGAGCCAGTCAAACGATACACTAGATAATTGCATAAATTTTTGAGCAGCATAAATTTAATAGATATGCATAGCAGAGTGATAGAGGTATATACCAGATAAACGCACGGCAACTAAATCAGTTGAAACAAGTAGATGGACATAATGGCGCAAGAGCTGAGTCCCATCTTTTCCTAGAGAATCCTGTAGAAGAGAACAAATCAAAATATCAAATTAGAGATTTTTTGTCATGGTGCAATATCCAAAAAGAGAAGTGGAAATCGTTGGTGGGAAGGAACAACATACCAATATCTACGAATTAAGTGTGATGAGAGTATGAGACCTTTGGTTCCAGCAAATGATTTTAGAATGTCCACAGGAAGATTCAACAATTCCTTGAGCAAATGTAATCTTCCAGCTGTTGTTATAGCATTATAAAACATGTCCCAATGCAAATCCCTGGTTAGAATCTGGGTACCATCTAAAGATTTCTTACACATGACATTTGAAAGGTCTATTGCATCAAGTCTCTTTGTGATGTCTCCAATTTCACTCTCTTCAACATCCAAATGTCTGTTTGCATCCTCCATGGCCTCCACCTCTACAGTGAAATCAGTACCTGTCAACAATACGTCAACAATACGCACAGCCTCCCGAAGCCCACTCATCATTGCACCACTGTCCACCAACAGTATCAGGATGCTCTTTGAAGCCTTGAAGGGAGCTTCACCAGCAAAAGGCAGTTCCCAACGGGCCTCCCTAATATGTCATAATCTTCTCCAAATGACCCCACAGTGACATACGAGTAAGCCCCATAGCTGTAATTTATCCCATGGCTGTGGTCCTGGCCTCTTCCTTTTCAATATATATGTCCGGGTGATCCCCCAAATTGCTCTGTTTCGTTCTCCAATATTGATTTCCTCAACATACCCCATACAACCATACCCCAGGTGTGTTTCTCATCCCATCTTTTCTTTTTTACTAACTTTTTTTTAACAGAAAAACTAGTGATTATCGCATTTGAAAGTATGTAAAAACAAACACTGCTTTTAATTTATTCCAGTATACAAGTATATGTAGGGGTGTTCGTCGGGTCGGTTTTGTCGGTTTCGGTCGGTTTCGGTCGGTTTGAAAATTCGTCGGTTTCTAGAAACAACAGACCGAGAACCAACCTGAGTAGACCTCGGTCGGTCGGTTCACAGAACCGAAATTTTCGGTTTGGGCGGTCGGTTTGGTCGGTTTGTCATTTGCCCACACCACTTTTCCAAATCAAATTAGGTAAAGTCTACCCATTTTTTTTTACTTTAACCTCTGTCAAAGGACGTTTGCACCTGTTTGCATGCTCAAAATACACAATATACTAACACAATCAACATTACAATGCTTAAACACTTGAAAAGATTTGAAAAGTTCAAATTCATGTTACGAATTAGAATTACTGAATTAGTACATGATTAAACAAGGTAATAGTAGCAAAATGGAACCTAGTGTCCAGTGATTAAATAAGAGTTTAGCCAAATAGATAGAAAAACATAAATAGCTCAATCTTCCAACACTGCAGCTTCGGAATCCATATTATCCATTGTTGCATAGTCTGCATCGGGCCTACATAATTGAAGCAACACAACACTCAAATACTAACATGCACAGGTAGCTTCCAAATACTAATTGAATTCAAATAAGTATAAGCAGTTAAATGTAGCTTAACCCACTAAAGAGAATGCTAATTAATAGGCCATAGCAATATTAGTTAAAAAAATCAATTGCTCAAAACAAAGCACAAGTACCCTACTGGCTTATATCATAAAATAAGATATAGTGGTCTCATTTTGAATTAAACTTTCACATTTTTTATTCAATACTACATTACTACCATATTAGTTTAAAATGTATCATACTCATGTGGATGATTGTTTGTGGTCATATTCTGAACATTTGGACCAGTGTTGCTTGAACTCGAGCTAGTCAAAGTCGGGGGCATCAAGAGAACACCTTCATCTACAATAAGAAGACAATTAACATATCAAAGCTCAAATGTATTATAATAAATAGTACATGGTTATATTGTACATTAAAAGTGAATTTAATAACCTGTAACAACTTCATAACAGTCTTCAAAAGCTTCAACTTCATCCATATGTTGCTTTAAGACCACAGGATTATATTCATCTTCTTTGGCATTCAACCAATTCTTCGAACAGATTAGAGATTCAACGACTCTAGGTGCTAATGAACTTCTGAAAGAATCAAGCACCCTACGCCCTGTAGAAAATGCAGACTCGGATGCAACGGTAGATATGGGAACAGCAAGCACATGCCTAGCAACCTGAGATAAGATCTTATATCTACCAGAGTTTTCTTTCCACCAAAGAAGAATGTCAAAATGATCACTTCCCACTTCTCCATCTTCATTTCCAGTGATTGGCTCGCATCTATCAGAAAGGTATCTGTCAACATCATTAAGGTTTAAAGTCAAGGCACTGCTCTTGGAACTGAGATATTCCCGATCCATATCCTCCATTCCTGATAATAGTGTTGAATCATCAAGACTGAGTGAAGGACGAAGTGATGAAATAGAACTAGAATTTGTGTTTGCAACTCCTGGAATTTTAGCTTTCTTTCCTCTAGATCCCTGTGATGGTATCGAGGTTTCTGTAAACCTAGGGACAGAATGACGTGGAGCAAGAGGTGGCGGTGGAGCCCAATCATGATATTGCTTGTACAATCTCCGGAGTGTTGACTCGATACCTTTTGACAAGGCGGTACATGTTTTTTCATTATAGATGCACTTTAGACAGTAATTGACGTATTCCATCTTGTACCTTGGATCAAGAATCAAGCCAAGAAACATCATGTGATTCATCTTCTCAGGAGTACCCCAATACTTGTCAAATTTAAGATTCATCGATGCTGCCATCTTCTTTAAAAGCTCATAATTAAGTACCCAATCCCAAGGTCTTCAACTCACGCTTAACCTTGCAAATGTCTTGAAAATAGAAGTTTGAGGTCACATAATATGAACCACTGAACTTCTTTGTCAGAACATAGAACCGCCTTAAAAACCTCACAAACACCTTTGCTTTATTCCAGTCAGTATCAGATGGAGGTCCAATAACTTTTCTCCCCCTGTTATCTACTTCCTGGAAGTAAGATTTATAGTTTTGATCGATAGACATCCTTTCAAACACGGGAATAAACTTTCAACTAGTGTCCAACATTAGGAAAGTTGAGTTCCATCTTGTTGGCACATCCAAAGCACAGAAGGGCCGTCGATTTGATGTTTTCTTGAGCAACTGTGTCTTTAAATTGTTTGAGCCTATGAGCTGAAGATCTCACAAATCGGGTTGCATTGCGAATACTAGCCACGGAGCGTTTCAACTCCTTCATACCATCACCCACAATCAGATTTAAGATGTGGCATACACATCTCATGTGAAGTGTCTCACCGTCAAGAACAAGAAACTCCGGAATGTCCTTGACTTTCCTCTTCAACTTGTCTATAGCCACATCATTTGATGATGCATTGTCAACTGTGATGGTAAATATCTTAGTAATTCCCCAATCATTCAAACAACCAAAGATTTCTTGTGCGACTGTCTCTCCTTTGTGATTATCAACTTGGATAAAGTTGATAATCCTTTTCTGCAACCTCCATGTTTCATCAACCCAATGTGCGGTTAAACACATGTAACTGATATTTTGAATTGAAGTCCAGCAATATGTCGTTAAACACATTCTCTGCTTCTCTAAAATTTTCTTCAATTGCTTTTTCTCATCCAAATATAATTGGTAACAATCCCTAGCAACTGTAATTCTAGAAGGAATTTCGGCCCTCGGGTTGAGATAATGTACCAGACGCTTAAAGCTCTTACCCTCTACGCAGCGCCAAGACTGCTCATCTAGGATAACATACTCCATAAGAGCTCTTCGCCAACCTTCTTTAGTAAACACTCGCAGTCCCATGGTTGCACCATTTTCTTGATCAGTAGCCCCTCCCTCACCTTTCCTTTTAAACTGAATGGTCTTCTGTTTTCTGTCATCAAATGGCCAATTCACGCATTTCTCCATATGGGCCTTCATGGACGAAGTTCCATTATTCTTTGAATGACAAGCATAACTACGGGGACAATACTTGCATTTTGCTCTTGGTGCGTCTGGCGGACAGGTGCCATCTAACTCAAAATGATCCCAAACTTCACTCTCCTTTTGCCCACGCCTTTTCACTCCCTGTTTCGTTTGGCTCTTATCCACCGTGGATGCAGTTTGAGCAGTACCTTGAGATGTTTCATCCTGCGAAGACATCTATTTGGAAAACAGTTTTGGTATTTAATGTATAAGAAATAAAGAAATAATGTTTGACAAGTATAAATGTATAATACAACCCTTTACAAGTAAGCAATAATTTTTTTGAAATAGAAGTGTAGTCTTTCAGCCCATTAAGATTATGATTATGAAATGTTTAATACAACCCTTTACAAGTAAGCTATAATGTTTGCTCAGATAGCAAAATATCTACCAAGAAGAATGGATAATGAAGTGAATAATTTCTGGAATTAAACCATCCACAAGAAGGTCATCTCTCGTACCTTAAATCCACATCAAACCTTTCCAGTTTCCACCACCATTAATAATAATATAATAATAATAATAATCACCATCATATCCCAAAGTCCAAACAATAATAACACTATGCTTTTCAATCATCATCAAAACCTCTATACTAATCAACTAATCTAATCCCAAACTTAATCCCCAGTTCTAGTCTCGTCCTAACTCTTTCACTATAAAATACAGAGCATAACTCAACTCTACATGAAGCATAGTTGTTCACTACTTGTTCTAACTTCTAAGTTGTAACTTCAAAACTAGCATAAGGGGATGAAGGTGTATGAGAATGAGACTAACGAGTTACTAACCTCATCCATGGACTTGTCCTGTGAATTCTCCGGTCCGTTCTCTGTAATTCGTAGATGAGGCGGCGTCATCTCCTAAAACTAGGGCTTGGAAGACGATTGTTTGAACTCTGAAGTGGTCTTGCCCGTATTAGTGACTTAGTGTATTAAAATTTAAGCGGGCTATCGAAGTGGGCTACACTGCTACAGAGTACAAGACTACAAGACTACAGGACATATATTTTAGTTTTAACTTATAAAATAGTCGGTCGGTCGGTTTTTAACCGATATCTATTATGTAGAACCGAAGGCCGACCGTTTAGAGCAGTACTCGGTTCGGTTAACCGGCCGAATCTGTCGGTTTTATTTTCGGTCCAGTTTGGTCGGTTTTTTCGGTTCGGTTTCGGTCGGTTTGTCGGTCGGTTTCGGTTTTTTCGGTTTTTTTGTTCACCCCTAAGTATATGATAAAAGCTACAAGCTAGCTAGAGTACGTGTTGTTCGATCATCTGCTTGTTTAACCTAGAGATACAACGAAATTAAGGGCCTGTTTACTAACAGAGATATTTTCCTGTTTTCTACTTCTGTTTTTCGTTCTCCAATTTTCTGTTTTTATTTTTCAGTTTTTCTATCTCCAATTTTCTGTTTGTATTTTTTAGTTTTCCATTTTCAAATTTGAAAACATGTTCATCAATTTTTTCACACAGTTCTCCAATTCCACACTCTTGACCCCTACCTCTACCCTTACCACGATCTTACACTCTTCCCATACTCCACCACAACCCTTCATGCCCACCCATACCTACTCGTAGGGGTCGGGGTAGGGAAGTTATGGGTGGGGTGGGGTAAGGGGTATGGTCGGGATGGGGTGGTAAGGTCTAGGGGTAGGGGGTTGGGTGGGGTAGTGGGTGGGTTAGGGTCGTGGTTAGGGTTAAGGGTGGGGTAGTGGGTAGGGTTGGGGTAAGGTAGGGGTAGGGTAGGGAGTTGGGATAGGATGGCGGTAGGGTGGGGTCGGGACCAGGGTGGGGCCGGGGTAGGGAAGGGGTAGGGTGGGGGGTAGGATGGCGGTAAGGGTGGGGGTAGTGGGTAGGGTTTGGGGTTAGGGTAAGGTATGGGTAGGGTAGGGGGTTGGGATAGGATGGCGGTAGGGTGGGGTAGGGTGGGGGTAGTCGGTAGGGTTTGGGGTTGGGGTAAGGTAGGGGTAGGGTAGGGAGTTGGGATAGGATGGTGGTAGGGTGGGCCCGGGATCCGGGTGGGGGTGGGGGTAGGATGGCAGTACGATTGTGGGGGTAGGATGGCGGTGGGGTGGGGCCGAGGTAGGAGGCATGTGGTAAGGGGTAAGGTAGGGGTAAGTGGTAATATACGAGGGGTGGGGTTAGTGTGGGGTGGGTCGGGGTGGGTCGAGGTGGTAGGGGGGTGGCGGTAAGGTAGGGTTGATCGAGGTGGGGTTGAGTTGGTAGGGGGTGGCAGTAGGGTAGGGTGGATCGGTGTGGGGCCGAGGTCGGGGCATGTGGTGGGGGGTGGGGTAAAGTCATTATAGGGAAAAATGGGTATGCGGGTTGGGGGTTTGGTGGGTAGGGTAGGGTGTAGGGGTAAAGGGTAAGGTACGAGGATGGAAGTACTGGAATGGAATCGACATCGGAGCGGGACCGGACCCACCACTAGGTGTAAGTATGCAAATTCATTGCAAAGGCACTGTAACATCTGCGTTTTCCAAATTTGGAAAACTAGTAAAAGTCACTTCTCCAAATCATTAAGGAAAAGAGAGACATGTTTCATTTTTTCCGTTTTGGAACTCGATTTGGTAAACGCGTTTTTTTTTTTTCCTTTCTCCAGTTTTCCAGGAATTTCTTTGATAAACATGTTTCCTGTTTTCTGTTTTCTTTGGAAAATTGAAAAAAGTTTCTGTTACTAAACAGACCCTAAGCTTTTCGCCCTTTGTTATGTTTACCATTTCTGATCTGGCATGGGAGGCGGTAGTATAATGGTAGCTTCGATCTTTATTTTTCACTACTTCCTCTGCGTTCGCGATATCAGGAAAACGATTCATGCTTTTCAACATCTTATATCTAATGCTTATATCTTTCTTCAATGGGCTTCTCTGATCCTTCTTGTAAATTTGCAGAGGAAAAGAGAATACACCGATCTAATTTATTTCATTGATCGTAGTCTAATATATATACAAGTGCTAACAACTAACAACCCCTAAAAATAAGGATCTAGATAACTCTAAACCTTAACTAGTACGAGAAAGTATAGTAAGGATTAAATAACAACCTCCTACAGTCTAGGAATTATATCCTCGACTTCAACACTCCCCCTCAAGCTAAACTATATACATTAAGTAGATTTAGCTTGCAATATAAGTTTTTGAACAAAGGAGAAGGAAGAGCTTTAGTTAAAATGTCAGCTATTTGCATCCGAGAAGAAACATGATGCAGCTTAATATCCTCATTATCAATCTTCTCACTGATGAAGCACTTGTCTATCTCGATATGCTTTGTGCGATCGTGATGCACGGGATTTTTCACAATGCTAATAGCAGCTTCATTATCACAGTAAAGATGAATTTGTTTTTCACAAGAAATCTTTAAACTGTTGAGCACTCTTTTGAGCCAAATGCCTTCACAAATCCCATGAGCAAGTGATCGGTATTCAGCTTCAGCACTACTACGAGATACAACTGACTGCTTTTTGCTCCTCCATGTCACCAAATTCCCATAGACAAAAGTACAATACCCTGATGTAGACCGTCTGTCTGTCTGAGAACCTCCATAATCAGCATCAGTAAACACTTCAATACGCTGACTTGAGGTCTTTTTGAAGAATAGGCCTGTTCCTGGTGCTCCTTTGAGGTACCTCAGGATTCTGAAAACTGCTTCCATGTGTGATTCCTTTGGATTGCTCATGAACCGGCTAACCAAGCTAACAGCAAAACCAATGTCTGGTCTGGTATTAGCTAAGTAAATCAGTTTGCCAACTAGTCGTTGATATCTGCCCTTGTCCACCGCGGCTTCTGCGTCAGCAGAATCTAACTTGAGCTTTGGCTCCATAGGAGTTTCTGATGGTCTGCAGCCTAGCATTCCAGTTTCTTTCAGCAGGTCAAGAGTATACTTTCTTTGTGATAAACATATACCCTTATGAGATCTGACTACCTCCATTCCTAGAAAGTAATTCATCTTACCCAAATCTTTGACTTCAAACTCAGTAGCCAACATTCGTTTCAGTCTTACAATATCTTCTTCATGATCACCTGTAATTACAATGTCATCAACATACACACTTAGTATTGAAATTCTTCCATCAGCTCCATGTTTTGAGAAAAGTGTGTGATCAGCTTCACTTTGAGAGTAACCAGCTTGCTTTAGAACTAGGGAAAACCTATTGAACCATGCTCGAGGACTCTGCTTGAGACCATATAAGCTTTTCTTTAATTTGCAGACTTTCCCTTGAGAGTATTGTTTTTCAAACCCAGGTGGAATGTCCATGTATACTTCTTCCATCAATTCACCATTAAGAAATGCATTCTTAATGTCTAATTGATGTAATGGCCAGTCATGATTAGCTGCAAGAGATAATAATACTCTGATAGTATTTAGCTTAGCCACAGGAGCAAAGGTCTCTTGGTAATCAATACCATAAGTTTGAGTAAAGCCTCTTGCAACTAATCTTGCCTTGAACCTCTCTACTGATCCATCAGCATTATGTTTCACTGTGAACAACCATCGACAGCCTACTGTCTTTTTGCCAGGAGGCAATATTGTGATATCCCAAGTATTATTCTTCTCCAGAGCCCTGATTTCCTCATAAGTAGCTTTCTTCCATTCTGGACTTAGCAAAGCTTCTTGAATTGATGAGGGCACTTGAACTTTATCAATCTGTGTGATGTAGGCTCTACAGCTAGATGACAGTTTCCCATAGTAGATGAAATCTTCCATCTGATATGGTGTGTGAGTTCTAGCAGGCCTTCTCAAAGCAATAGGCAGATCAACATCATGCATTTCATTATTATCATGAGAAGAAGTCGTTGAGTCAGTAATACCTTGGTCATGGATGTCCAGAGACATTGAACTTGGATCAGATGATTGACAGATATGAGGCACGGCCGGTGGTGGACTGGATGAATTAGTGGTAACTGATATTTGAGATGGTTCCTCGGGTTGAAACAGTGGAATGAGATCAGTTATTATTGTGTTTTGACCTTGATCCTGAGATTCTATTGGACAATTCTCCCCCTGAATCGAAGTGTAAAAGGGTTTATTCTCAAAGAATGTAACATCCATTGTATGGAAGTACTTTTTTAGAGATGGTGAATAACATTTGTATCCCCTTTTTGATGGTGAATAACCTATGAAGATACATTTTAAAGATCTAGGATCTAACTTATTTTGATCATAAAGATGAACAAAGGCTGAACAACCAAATAATTTAGGAGGTATGGTTGATAGAAGTTTCGAAGTTGGAAAACTCTCTAACAATTTCTGACATGGAGTTGAGAATTTAAGAACTCTTGAAGGCATCCTATTGATGAGATAAGCAGCAGTAAGTACTGCCTCTCCCCAGTAGTGTTTAGGTACATTTGTAGTAAACATAAGTGATCTAGCCACATCTAACAAATGCCTATTTTTCCTTTCTGCAATTCCATTTTGCTGAGGTGTTTTAACACAGGAACTAGTGTGTATAATACCTTGGGAGAGGAAATACTCATGTAAAGTAGAATTGAAGAATTCCGTGCCATTATCAGAATGAACTATCTGGATTTTTGTATTGAATTGTGTGAGAATCATTTTGTGAAACTGTTTGATGAGGAAAGGAGTTTCTGACTTATTTTTCATCAAGAAAACCCATGTGAGTCTAGTATGATCATCAATAAGCAGTAAGAACCATTTTGCCCCAGAAATATTGGAAGTTTTAGAGGGCCCCCATACATCACAATGAATCATTGTAAATGGTTGAGAAGGTGTATATGAACTGGGCATATATGAATTTCTAGTATGCTTAGAGAGATGACAAATATCACATTGAAAATGCTTCACATCTTTATTAATGAATAATGAAGGAAAGAGTTTTGATAGATACAAGAAATTTGGATGACCAAGTTGATAATGTAGCAACATGATATCCTCATTTTTTGAACTTTTATTAGATTTTGACACTAAGACAGAACTAGAACATGGAGACTTTTGGAGCAGGTATAACCCGGCCTTGACTTCAGCACTGCCAATCATCTTCCCCGAGACTTTGTCCTGAAAAACACATGAGTCATTGGTAAAATGAGTGACACAATTCAGATCTTTATTCAACTTATGAACAGATAGCAAATTGCAGTTCAACTTAGGCACATAAAATACTGAGTTGAGTTGCAAAGATGGGGAAAGGTGTACTGTCCCGATGCCTTCCACATAAGAGACTGAACCATCTGCTATAATTACAGATATGGAGTTTTTACTCTCATGATATGAGGTAAATAATTCACGGTTACCAGTCATGTGATCTGTAGCTCCAGAATCGACTATCCATGAGGAAGAATTGTCAGATTTGGAGTGAAATACCAGTGAAATATTACCTCTATTTACCATAGATGCATTTCCAGTAGAAGTTGAACCTTGAGGATTCAATTGAGATTGACTGAACAAGGTCTGAAGGAGATCTAGCTGTTCTTTACTGAAGAGTGGTGATGAGGCCAAGTTTCCCTTGTGTTCTTGATCTGATGTGTTTTTCCGAGGCTTCCAGTCCCGAGGCTTTCCATGGATCTGCCAACATGAGTCCTTTGTATGCCCTGGCTTGTGACAATGATCACAATAGGGTCTTTTGTTATTTCTTCTGTCGGTGTTCACTTTGGTAGCTTGACTGTAATTCTCATTTGACACAGAGAGGGCCGAGACATCTGAACTTATTGCAGTTGATGAGGCATCTCCCATCATGATTTTCCTTCTGCTTTCCTCATGTCGGATTGCTGAGAAGGCTTCTCGAATTGAAGGTAGAGGTTTGGTGCTGAGAACTCTTCCCCGTGCATCATCCAGATCTTTGTTAAGCCCTGATAAAAATTTAAACACTCTCTTTTTCTCTACAATAGATCTGAACAATTTTTCATCTTCTGGGCACTTCCAACGGTGAGTATCAATTAGATCTATTTTTTGCCAAAGTTTGTTAAGGGAAGTGAAGAATTGAGTAACAGACATATCACCTTGCCTGAGCTCATGAAGAATACTTTCAGTTTCAAATACTTCTGATGTATTTTCAGAACTGGAGAAGGTGATTCCTGCTGCTTCCCATATCTCTGCTGCTGTGGAGTACAATAGAAAATTCTCACCAATATCTGGTGTCATGGAATTAATCAGCCATGACATCACCATATTGTTGTTTGCTTTCCAGGATTTGAAGGAGGGATCATCTTCCTTCGGAGCAGCAGTGATAGAGAGGAAATCTTCTTTACTCTTACCACAGATGAACATACGGACTGATTGTGACCATTGAAGATAATTCTGGCCATTTAATTTGTGATTAGTGATTTGGGTAGAGAAGTGATCGGAATTTATGGTGGACGATGATTGTGGGGTTTCTGTGGAGGAAGATGAAGTGAAACCCTGCACATTATTACCATATTTAGTCATGGCTCTGATACCATGTAAATTTGCAGAGGAAAAGAGAATACACCGATCTAATTTATTTCATTGATCGTAGTCTAATATATATACAAGTGCTAACAACTAACAACCCCTAAAAATAAGGATCTAGATAACTCTAAACCTTAACTAGTACGAGAAAGTATAGTAAGGATTAAATAACAACCTCCTACAGTCTAGGAATTATATCCTCGACTTCAACACTTCTCGATCTCCAGTAGTATAGGGACCGCGGTAGTAAGATCGAGCCTCTGCAAATGTCTGCTCCTGATCGTCCGAGAATGTTTTCAGCATACTCTGCTTCAATACTTGTCGATCAAGCTTCAAGTATACAGTACTTTAGCTATATTAATTGAAATGCCAGGTCATGATCGATACCACTTGAAATATGACCTAAATTAGTTATGTACTCTCTCCAATGGCGGCGCGTTTTCGATCAGAGACCTGTTATAGGGCAGGTCTGGCCCTCCTTTAATTTCCACCCTTTCTAATTATGTTTACCGTTATTGGCATGGCCATCTTCGATCTTCTTCAATGGATTGCTCATATTCCATGGGCTTCGATCGGAGGCACTAAGAGCTTCAGGATATTGGGGTTTAGCGATTAAAAGGGGTTTAGGAGGGAATATTAATCAAAGTGGAGCCCGGATGATGTGGCTATGGCGGCATGGAAATTGGCCCAGATATATTAAGGTAGTTGTAGGCAATGTTTTCAGACCGCCCCTGATCCGTCTTCTATCTTCGCCTCTCCATCCATGGATGATTGGATAGTGCTGCTCGGTTCGGCTTGTTCAACAAGCTAAGTACTCTATTTTAAGTTAGTCAAAACGACGTTGTTTGGCTGTGAATTAAAAAACAGTTTGTACTGATTTATAATTCTGAAACGAGCAATCCATAAGGTGGGAGTATTTGTAAAATATCAGGGTGGGCTTCCAAAGCAAAGGCGAATCGGCAAAGGGCCAGGACCAGTCTATTATTGGTCTCTGTCCTGTTTTGTTTAACAAGTGATATGATTGTTACCTTGGTTATTTTAATTTTCGCATAGTTTAATACCAAGTACTACCTCCATTCTTAAATAAATGTAGTCTATTCACATGTTTTACTTTGATTACGTTTTATTTATTAATGTAATAATATTATTTTATGAAAAAAATATTGTTAAACTTATCTCATTGTAAATTTTCATAATCTAATTTTTTAAAATCTATTACTCCCTCCGTCCCAAAATGGTTGGCCAAATTTCCTTTTTTGGCCGTCCCAAAAAGGTTGGCCATTTCCATTTAAAGTAAGGAATATGTGGCTAAAGTTAATTCTCTCTCCTCTGCACAAATTTTAACCACACAGTTTTTACTTTATTAATCCACGTGCAAGTCAACATTGGCCAACGATTTTGGGACGGAGGGAGTAATCTAATAGCAAAATGTTTTTTTGCTACAGGATTCCCGCTTGAAAATGTCAACATCACTGCATTATTTTTTATTAGTTCGGCCAAAATATGAAGAGTTGTGACTAGGCATTTCCCATTGGTGCAAAAAGAAGGTCCACAGTGCTCCAATAAATTTTGTGTTTTCCCATTGGTTCAAATGACAGGTGCGTACTGTTGAGCACAGTAAATGTGATTTCATATATCTCATTCCCAGCAACTTGCGTGGTTACGTTCAGCTATATAAGAAACACTCCCACATGACACTTCTCACTTCCATTTGCACATCCAGCTAAAATTACAAAAGAACAAATATTTCTCAATATGATTCGTATGAGGTGAATGATTCTTGAGATTAAGACCTCTTGGGCCATAAAGGGAAGAGCCTTTGATGATAAAGCTGCAGTCGGTAAGTTTGTAGTTTAATCAAGTCATTTATAAACAATTTCATACAAATTATTAATTAATTAATGGCCAATGCAGATGTCTGGGACAAATTACACAGTCGCAAAATCAAATGCAAGGACGCATCGCAGAAATCCCAGCACATTTCAACAATAGATCTGCATTAGAATCTTCACAAATGCAACCATTATGTGCTGCAAAAGTATTAATAATCCAAAGCCAAATAAGATTTCCATTGAGAATTTAAACATGTTCATAATACATTTTTGCCAGATTATAAATCAAAATGCTGAGCAATTTTGTGCCTTTGATTATAAATTGATTAATGTGCAGAATTATTTTTTCATTTTTTATTATCTGATATGTCTCAGATTGACTGTCTCAGGCAATTAGTTTTAATTTTGTTTTGGCAATTCTGATAATTGGTTTTAACATATACAAACAATTGACACCGTGTCAAAGATGTATGTGATTTAGTTTGTTAAAACGAATATGTTGTCTTCGTGTTATCTATTGAGACTCTCAAACACGCATAAACAGGGTATTATATTTTACACTATATTTTGATTTTTATTTAATACAGTTATAGGTTGTTGATTTAATGATTAAATTTTTTTTAAAAAAAAGTTCCCAATTTTGGTATTTTACAAATAAGTACCAAAAGATGAGATGTTAACTGATGTTTAAGTGACTGCACGAAGTTAACTGATGTTTAAGTTCCCAAGGTTGTTCATTTTGGTATTTTACAGCTATGTCCTCAGTTGTGGAAAATAAATTTAATTCCTTTGTTTAAGTGACTGCAGGAATGACTAACTGATGTTTGACAGTAAAAGAATGGTTCTTCTCGGACTAAAGTAGGTTAGTTCCAAAGTATTTCAAAATTTAAAAAGAAATATAGTTTGAGGAAATTGAAGTTACCTGCAGAGACTTCTTAACTGATGTGATGGGCACCAGTTCCTCCCATAGTCCCATGTCATTGTAAAAAATGGAATCAAAGAGGTTAATAGGTTTTAAAGAGAATGATATCATATTAATTTAATCGAAGAAATTTAATGTTGATAAACATTAGAATATGTTCCCTTTAATAATTGGGGAAAGTGAATAGGTTATACGGAGTAACTTAATTACTCCGTATAACCTGTTTCAAAATTAGATGTTGAGATGGGGGTGGATGTGACGTTCCTAATACTCCGTAATAAAGTTGCGAGGGTTGGTGGTTGGAAATTATGAGTGTGGGTGGGGTGGGCGTGTGCTTTGAAATAATAGGGAGTAAATAATAAATGTTAATTGATTTTTAAAAAATGTTGGCAACTACGTAGTATCAAATTTTACAAATAAATGATGTTTTACAAAAAGTTTAAAAGTCTTTGTCATTCTCTAAGAAAATTCGAGAAAAATTACAAATTCTCAAAAGGGCGGATGCTTAAAATAATACGCAATAAATTTGAAAAACCACATAAATTGTTTTGAGATAAAATTTTGTAGAACCCAAAAACACTGTCACTTGGGTGAATTGACAAAAGGTCCAGAAACATTAAAGATTTTCAAATTATTGACGATTACAAATATTCTATTTTTATTTTAAAAAATTACCTACGAAAGGTTAATTACATCATTTCACTTATTGTTCACATATTCTTCACGTTTAAAGGATAAAGGTCTTCTGTTTAAGTTTTTTTTAAATAGGTTCTTCTGAAAAACCGAAATGATTTTTTGGAAAAGATCTGTTTGTAATGTTGGAGTAAAATTGCCGGTTTAATTATCACAAAATGAAAAACATTTCACTCAATATCTGCGGATCTTGCAGATTTGTGTGATTGGGAAGTCATTTTTCATTTAAATTTATAAAGGGTGTGAGTTCATCTAAAATATTCTAATAATATGACCATTTTATCCTAGATTAGTAACAAAAACGAAAAAATGAAAAAAGTTTTCAGATCTGTAGAGTTTGAAGCTTGATTATCGTTTAAAATGTATTTGGGTTGTTTGTGCGTGTAAGGAAGTGTGCTCGAAAGGCGGTGCAGTGTGGGATGAAGAATGTTACCGATGTCAAGTGACGCCGAACGAAGGAATAAACGTAACCGGTTCCCTCGGTTTTGGTTGTGGTTGGAGGCGATGTGTGTGGCCGGACGGTAGCATGATAGGTCGGTTCCGTCGAATGCTTTGGCCGTTGCAGCGAAGGACTTCCAGAGTTCAAGTACCCTGTTGTGGATCGAGTTCGGTAGAGAGGGTGCGAGAGAGTAGTGTCGGCTGATTTTGTGGGAGGGTTTGTCGGAGAATCGTTGGGTAAACATATATGGGTTGGGTTGAGTGGTTCATCGATGCTACAAACCTCTGCTCCAGCCCATTTAATTTTTTTTCGACTGTTGCAAACATCCTTCTTTTGGGCTGATTTGTTTGGTTGTATATTATGTCATGGGCTGAAATATATTATGTTTTAAGTATATAAAATCATGTCATGTACAATCGAATATCATTTTTAAAAAAAATCTTTAAGTAACATGGTAGTAATCAACGAAGATCTACTTGATCTATAGGTTGTGCTAGATCGGTAAAATGCTTATATTTAAGCATAGTTTAAGAATACCATAACATATTTTCTCATATTTGCACCCCCTGATTTGCCAGTTTACAAAAGCAATTCTTCTAACTAATGCAATTCGTATAGATGTAAAATCACCCTATTACTTAGTCATTATAAATAATTTTACTTCGTCGTGACTAGAATTTGTAAACCTTTGAATCTGGAAAAATTCTTTGCCAAAATTATACTGGAAGAAAGGATTTTAACAAGGGTTAGTGTGAGTCAAAAGGTGTTAATTTCTCAAGCATTCATTAACACCTCCACATATTAGCTTGCCATTCCAATATATTTTGGATGTAATAATACTCACACATGATTTATCATGTCATGACTATAAATAAAAGTCAAAAACAGTCTTATCGTGTGTTAATTTATTGTTGAAAACTAATGTTCTTAGTGTTGGACTCGGGCCGGGTAGGGTCCGGGTCGGGCCTAGGCCCGGCCGGGCTTTTGAGGGTTGGGATGAAGGCCCGGGACCGGCCCCAGTTAGCACTGGGTCCGGTCCGGGCCGGGTCTATGTTATTTTTTTTCTAATTAACCCCGACCCCCTAGCCTCCACCCCCCAAACCCCACCAAAACACCCAGCACAACTCGGAAAAAAGCCCAAAAAATCAAGAAGAAAATACCCGAATCGGGCCCGGGACCGACCAGGTCGGGTCAACATTTCCTACACCCGAGCCCGCTCCCGCTAAACCCACCGAGTCGGGTCGAAGCCCGGTACTAGAACTGAAAGATCGGGCCGGGCCGGGCCCGCACAGTAGCGGGCAGGGCCGGTTCACGGGCTTGGCGGCCCGACCCGAGTCCATGGCTACCTGTTCTTAGTCATGGTCAACTTTGTGGTTGTTTGTTTACCGGCGTTTTCAGCCCATTTCTGCAATTATCAGCGTTTGTAGTGTAAAAACCAGAACATTTTGGCTCCACACGCTAATATTCAAACGAAGCCTTTATGTGGTTGAGTTAAGAGTAATCATTGGTAAATTTATTACACACGTGCAATTTCACCAACCGTGCATCGCATGAATATTCAACATATTTCCTCTAACACGAGATTCTTTCAGTAGTACATGTGTTGTGCACTTATGAACTTATTTCTTTTTAGGAACAAATTCACCAACCGTGCATCGCACGGGTGAGTTACTAGTTTTTTACTAATACAAAATCATTTATATTAATGGTCAAAGTTGTGTCTCGGCAGGTGTGAAATGTTGACCGTTGCACTTTGATGGATTATATGGACTCCGACCCCCCGGTATGCCGAATACTAGGCCTGGACAGCGGCCCACACACGTTTAGCGGATATCATTAATATTATTGTACATTATTATTATTATTATTCAGATGTTCTAGATTAGCTTTTTATACTATCAGTCCATTTATGTAACCGGGTCTGTCAGGCCCATATTAGAGGCCCAGACCCGGATTTTCCCTATATATACTCCTTATAGGAGGCTTGTAACTGATATAACAAATATTCATTCTATACACATTTCCTTCTTCTTCATCATTTCTTCTCTATTCTTGTTCAATCTCTCATATTTATACAATATGGGTATCAATTATCCAACAATGGTGCTCTCGTTGAGAGGTTGAACACAATCAAGTGAGAAAACCTCCCCAAACTATCAAAATCATTCCAATCACAAAAAAATCAGCCCAAAAATGATCTGGAAATTTCAAAAAAAAAAGTCAGGAATTAGATCTGGAAAGAGCAACAAAAGAGATCAGAAAATTAGTTATTTCCGATAAAGTGCTGGAGATTCTTGCCGGAAAGACCGTCACCATGCCACCGGCACACGCCATAGCAGAGGCTTGTAGCCTGCTAAAGCTCACCCCCGTCCCCGGGTCTGAGCTGAAGCCGCTGCAAGGTACAAGCTCCTTCACCGGACTTCAACAACTCACCTGCAACTCGCTCTGGGTTCCAGCGTCGCCGCCAGTCCAGGCCTCCGGTAGCGGGCTCTGCCATCTCGCCAGCAAGCAGGTCGGCTATGTTGCAGCACTTCCAGTCGCTCGCTCCCATCTCGCCCGCCGGAGAATCACCGCACCGTTGTTCACTTCTTCAAAAAAGAAAATAGATTTTTTCCAGATCTAATGCATAACCGGCCAGAACCGAACCGACCGGTCAACGAGGACAAACAGCTTCACGCATCTCTAGCTCCATTGAACAGTGTCCGCCATTAATGGCCGCTAGGAAGCTCTGTCCTCGAGCCAAAACCAACCTCATATCGCGTGGATCGGTCAAGGACGCCCCAAGCTCGAGCTCCACCGCGAGGAAAGCTCGCAGTCGCGACTAGAGCTCTCCCTTCCTCCCCTGTTCCGGCGACGACCGCAGCGGACGACCGCAGCGGAAGACCACTCAAGCGTGGTGGTCGGGGGTCTCCCCTCTCTGTCCGACGAAGCGAGGCTCCGGGCTGACGACTAGTTCCGGTGACATCTTTGGACCGATGATGGTGAGAACAGGGTGGTGACATCGATTTCCGGCCGAGGCAGAGCGCATCCCTAACTCTCCGTACATCATGGAGGAGAGGGTGGAAGAGCTGCCTCCCTTATCTCCAGGCCTATGACCTTCCGCTTTACTCCAGATCTGATGCCAGCTGTGGGAAATGAAGGGCCAGGCTGAGACATGCCAACAAGACTCCTGCAATTAGCTAGTATGGAATGGGTCCATGGGAACAGGACTGAAGAGTTGCCGCCTATCTCCTCACGGGGCATATCCAGCTCATCCAGTCTGGCTTATTTCTCAACATTTGGGACGGACGAAACTCATTGCTGGGTCAAATTTGGTCAATTTCGTTGCAATTTCTATACGAGCCAATATTACATTCTCACCAATAATAATGGGCCGGACCATTTTTGGGCAAGTTCTTTCAAAGGGCTGGATTTCAACCCATCAAATATTTCAGCTCACCTAAAAAGATAAGTACTTTTTAATTTTCATATTATTTATTTAAATCAATATTTTTTGTCGGTTGAATGTCACACTATCACGCACTTATGATCAAATACCTAGTAGAGTGTGGCTTGAGACCCATCACTAGGATTTAAAGCTCTGACTCATCAGGCACAAAGCCCTGTCTCCTCAGGCACAAACAGGGGCGGATGCACCCTTAGCTTATGGGGGGCACTTGCCCCCAATAAGATCTTAATAATCCATTGCATCCACTATGGAAAAACAAATAAAACAATGATTTGCCCCCAATAAAAATATATAGTTGCCCCCAATAAATAAATAAAAGTTGGTTTTCTTGCCCCACCCATGCATAATTTATCACCCTATTGAAATACTACTCGTATATAAAAATCGGTACTTGATGACATTCTTATCACATCACATTATTATTTATACGGATGCATTTCTTTTTACATACCTAGTATATATTAATGCTTAACTTTCTATGACAGAGATATTTCTAAAGTTCACCCAATGTCTTATACATAATATTTTAATTTCATACACAATTTATTACAATGTGTTTATTAATAAATAATAAAAAAGTATGTCAACTATTTCTAGATATATCAACTTTTTATGTCCAGTCCAAAATTATTTCATATTTTTGAGGAAAAAATCATGTTATTTATATTATTTGGTTATCATATACTAATTAAATACTCCATGTAAATCATAAACGTCTCTTTGTGGCCATTTTTTTGTTTTTATATACTCCTATCTTGTATTTCCACTTATCTGTCTCTTTGTGGCCATTTTTTTGTTTTTATATACTCCTATCTTGTATTTCCACTTATCTGTCTAGGTGTAACAAATTCACCTGTTTAATACTCTATCTATCTCACATAAATCACATACATGTTCTCATTGTCTTTTTCTGGAAGTCGCATATAAAGGTTTTTTATTTCTAATTTAGGAAACAATTAACATTCTTAAATGCAATTTAATTATCAATTATTAAATATAATAAATCTATAAGATCGCAATTATCTCCATTAACCCCCATTATATTAAAGACATATTAAAAATTATTTCTTAAAGTATACTCGGTTTACCTTATTTAATTATTGTCTAAATAATTGTGTCGTTTTGCAATGAAAAACTTAAAATGGGACGGATGTAGTATAACTCATTACCATTTTGTGAGTCATTCCATGAACCAATGCATGCTTTTTAATGAACTGGAAATTATGTAGCACGGAAACTCTTGGGAAAAAGTACTTTTCCAGTTTCAGAAACTCCCGAAAACTCTCTGAAAACTCTTCAAATAAGCGTTTTTTGAGCAAAAGTTGACGTTTCCCATTTTTCGTATTCTCATGATTTTTGCGTTCCCGTGCAACAGACTGGAAAAGATTAATTATGTACTCCTTAATACCTTATTAAAGTAATTCAAAATTTGTACACTTTAATTTTGATAACCCTTTATAAGATCTTGCCCCCAATAATATTTCTGGCTGGATCCGCCACTGGGCACAAAGCCCCGACCAAGTCGGGCATGAAGACAAAACTCCGACCAAGTCGGGTATGAAGACCGGTCTTAGTCATTCCTCGAGTGGCGACCGTTGCTTACGAATGGCTCACACATCCATTCTACTAAGTATTTTATCATTACATTAACAATTCACATCTCCACTTGTTTCAAGTGACGAACTCCCGATCGGGAACATAAATCCCAAGAGAAAAAAATTTTATATGCATGATAAATGTGTAGGTACGAAGATGACTTTACTCATTTTCACCTCGTCTCCACTCGCCTCAAAGAGTGGGGACTGGGAGACTGAGGGGTCTGAGTTTCTAGATGAGCAGAAAATATCACGCAAGAGCAGGAACGAGAGCTGAGTCAGTTGAAGAGGAGCTGAGCTAGATTGATTATGCCAGAGGGGATTTACCTTCCTTGTTTCATGTTGGGGGCGCTAGGTGTACTCTTTTTCCCTTTATTAGGATTTTTTCCCATTGGGTTTTTCCTAGTAAAGGTTTTTAACGAGGCACCTCCCCATCATTGACAAGGGTGGTGGTCCCCCGGCCGAAGAGGAAGAACGTTGCAGATACAGTTTGGACTACTCCCTTTCGCCTCGAGTACTCTCGACTCAGGGAGTGGGGGACTCCTGATGGATTATATGGACTCCGACCCCCCGGTATGCCGACTACTAGGCCTGGACAGCGGCCCACACACGTTTAGCGGATATCATTAATATTATTGTACATTATTATTATTATTCAGATGTTCTAGATTAGCTTTTTATACTATCAGTCCATTTATGTAACCGGGTCTGTCAGGCCCATATTAGAGGCCCAGACCCGGATTTTCCCTATATATACTCCTTATAGGAGGCTTGTAACTGATATAACAAATATTCATTCTATACACATTTCCTTCTTCTTCATCATTTCTTCTCTATTCTTGTTCAATCTCTCCTGTTTATACAATATGGGTATCAATTATCCAACACACTTATTTAAGAACGGAGGAAGTACTATGTAATTTTTAATAATGGATGAAAAAACTGATGTACAGTATATTACTTGCTTCGTATCTGATTAACTAACAATACACCTATGTTGTAAAAACTGGACCTACTAAATGGATGAAAAAGATGACTATAAATATATGGATGAAAAAGTTGTAAATTATACTCCGTACACCTATTCTTAAATAATTGAGATGTAATATTGTTAAATTTGTCTCATTTCAATTTTTTATAATCTGAGCTTTAAAAGAATTACTAATGAAGAATTAAGCATACGAAATGTCGAAGTGTCCATTGGTGAATGCAAAAACTGAAGTGCTGCAACTAAAAAATGAGGGAAGTATGTTTTTATTTATAACATGACTATATACATACATACAAATATACAAGTGCAAAGAATTTTGAAATTGCTTACGAAATTTTTAGTAAAATATATAGTACTTTACCTATATAAATTGAAATGTCAGTTCTTGATACCACTTCAAAACTAGTTGACATAATAGTTTGGGATTCATGTATTCTCTCTAATAATCCAATGATACGTTCTTATTTTGATCAATTAGTCACTACGAGTCTGCGGGAAAGATATCACGGAGTATAATTTTCGCTTAAATTCGATAACTTTGACCAGAAACTTGGTAAAATGTCTTAGTAGTATGATTTTATGCACCAAAATTATGGGGTAATTTCTTAGAGTGTGAATTAAATAATTATGTGGAGTATTTACTTGATTTTCATTCCCTTTTCATAATTAAATAATTTGGCTCTAGCTTTTGTGTACTAACATTTAAATTGTTCCTCGCCTGGCGGCGGGTATATATGCATGTTGCTTTTATGATTTTGTTTTTCTTATTGGTGTTAATATGATACTTGCATATTCTGGTTTAGTTTTTCTCGCAACTTGCTTCTAATGGAAGGAATACCTCGGACAATCCATCATGACCTTTTTGCCACCGCCCTTCTTTGGGCCACTGTCCTGCTCTCCATCTTGAGAGCAAAGGATGAAAAAAATGATGAAAGTTGATTTTCTGCTTAACACATACGTAGTACTTCATAATTTGCAAATGGATTAACGTGCTGTTTCTATACGACATTATTATATTATTGGTCGTATTACTAATTTATTTGTCTTTATTTACATTTATCAGGAGGAACCATGGAGCAACCGCCTCCTACTGTACAAGAGGAGGAAACTATGACAAGAGAATGTTCTGTGATTGTAGATATTAATGATGGACTACTCCAGTCTCCCACCACCTATGGGAAAAAAGAAGATATGGCAACAAATACCACCCAAAGTTGCCTACTTCATTCTTGACTTGCTTGAGCTTTTGTTGAGGGGATCGGGTTTGGTTTGTCTTTCTCTTTGTGTTTCTTGCAGTTCTTTGCACAAGGTGCTACCCATGAAGAGACACTGCAGGCAGCTGTGGAGTTGTGAATTACCTTGCTGAATGGTTTTGTTGTGTTGGAAAATGTTACAGTGGATACAGCGCCTTTGCTTCGTGAACATTGCATATTTCCTTTGCCCGGAGGTGACATTCTTCTGGGTATTTCTATTGGTTCTTTTGTGACTAAAGAACTTCCTGCATTGGCTGCTCTCATTGATCTACAACTTCAAAAAATACGACTAAATGTTAGGGAGTCTAAAGGAGTTGAATCAATCAACCCCTCTAAAATAAGAATAATTTTACTTGAATTGTAATTTGTTGGACTGGTTTGATCTGGATTCTTTATATTTTTATAACTATCCAAATCTGCATTTTTATTAACAGAGTTCTCATAAATAAAATCGCCTTGCTAGGGGCTCACTAATATTTTTTGTATGAATAGATTAATTATGAAAAATTCCTTTTATGTTTATCTTCAAATTCTCAGGAGTTGTACGTATGTATTGATACTTTTGATATGCGTAGTATTACTACGTACGTAGTATTACAGTATATTGTGTTCTCTTCCTCATCGGTACTTGTGAGATGATAATACTGAACTCTTCGGGCTTTCATTATATTTTTTCATTTCAGGTTCAACTTTGGATATATAAGTGGCTTGTTGGGCCTGTTGGCTGATCCAGAAAGTCAACTTTGGTTTCTTATGAACTGTACGTACACTCCGTAGTATGTATACTCCGTATATACGAAGTATTAGTTTTGGCCTGTGCGCCTATCTTAATTTGCCGCCTGTGGCTAGAACATCTATATTTTATATAGTAAAACAGAAAAGTGTGGGAGGGAGTTTGGGCGGGAAGTGTGAACACTCAGTGTATGAACAATGAGTGAAAACAAAAAGTAATTAATGCAATTAAATTAAATATGGATATATGTGTGGATTGGTGGTGGTGTCCCCCAAATACGGAGTACTTTTGTAATGAAAAGGTACGGAGCAGCAGCATGTGGCTGCCATTGCAATCACCCATGTTGTAATAAATATCATTTAATATTGGACTCAATCTTTTAATATCATCGAAAGATGGTCAAAATCATTTTCAAGATTATGGAAAGCTATGGTCAAGATCATTTTCAAGATGTTGTTATTGGGTTTGTAGTGTAATGAAAGGGGTATTGTTTATAAAAAAAAAGTTGTATATCATTGTATTCATATGGAATGAGGTTGACAATATGTGGTTCAGGTTGCAACTATTGTACTTGCTGAAAATAATTATATGTTTTATAAAAAGAACCTTTCTTGAGCAGTTTGGTGCTTTCTTTTAGCTGGGAAGTTTTTGTGTTGATAAGAGCAATTAATAAATATAAACGTGATAGATATTAAAAGGCCTTTTCAAATATTGATATGTAAAAAGAAAAAGAAAAGTTCTTTTTGAAATTCCTAAACGTGTTATATACCAGTAGTGATAGATTTTTTTTTTTGTGCGTTAAAAAAATGATTCATTAATGGAAAAATTAACAAAAACAAGTTGTGGAAGTTTTAAAATAATGTGACCTGGGGAAAAAACAAGATTCATTAATGGGTAAAAAAAGTGCTTTTGGAAATTTCTATACGTGTTGGAAAAGTGAAATGCATTTTCGAACTTCAAAGGAGTAGCAAATTATTTATTGGTCTACAAGAGCCAGCTCTAAAGTGTTATCATAAGTTGCATAAAAATGTGCTTAATGATAATTTAACATCAATAAATGTTTAATATGTCTTATCAATGGACCTTTTGGAATTCTTTCGGTTTTAATGATTGAGGGACCTTAATAATAGTTAATTTGAAATGTCTCAATGCATTGAACCGCGTATTGAAAAAAAGATTTAATTAGGGGAAATGGCAGAATTACAAGGTTCTTGAATTTCAAAATAACAATTTTCTAGAATATAAAATTAATAATAATAACCTTAAAAAATGTCAATTGAAAAAACTGTAGTTACAATATAGTATAGGATTGAAAAAAAATGAGCATTTTGGAATTTTTTAAATAAATTAAATACGCCTTTTGGAATTAACAGCCAGATATATAAAAGCACACGTATTTATACAATTTATATATAGGATCTAGAAATACTTGGCACCATCAACAAAAGCACACATATATATACAATTCAGTTGTTTATTGAAAAAAACCGCAAATAAAACAAGATTTTTTCGTTTAAACTAAAGACCAGAATAGATACGGTTTAGCGGTTTATTGAAAAAATAAAAACAATAAATTTTGGCCTTTTGGAATTTGTAAGGCTCTTCAATATAAATATGCCTTTTTAAATTCCGGGCAAGAAGGTGCGGCGGCTCATTTATTTTGTTACAGGAAGTCGAAAAACTTGACAGCATGAACAAAAGATGTTTGGAATTCCTGTGCTTTGGACTTTATGACTAAAAAAACGGCTCATTAAATTACTTTGGTCGTTTAAACCAAAAGCCTCTATATATATACCACACATTTCACAGCCCACAAGACCTTATTCTACTCCCTACATTTCTACTCCCTACAGGTACCCATTTTGAAAGGTAGGAATGAAAACATGCTGGATTGACACCATTCGAACATGATGCTAGGTGTTGGGCGTGCAAGGAGATGTGTTTGAATTGGTTCGTGTGGGAATGTGTATTGTGCGGGGGCAACAAAAGCGTTTAATTGTGTATGAAGCAGGTAAGCAAGTGCAAAATTTTAGTTGGAATTTTTTTGACGCAAATAATGAGTTACCATGCTTGAAACTAATGGTATGCTGCCAAGGCGTTATGCTGGAATTGTAAAGAAAAATAAGAAGTACTTGAAAAAGTGATGTCAAAGTATCAATGTGTTTTTTTTGGCTAAAAAAATGAAGATGTTTAGTAGTTACTCCATATTTTAGCAGTTTATGTGTTAAGATATCTAATAGGTTGGCATTATTGAAACAAAAAGTTTAAGGCACATTTTTAGTTTACAATTTCAGTAGAACGCCTTGGCAGAACTATCTGCTTAGAAGTATAGATTTGCATGTATAGATATAGTAGTTGCTTTATTGTTTAGTTAAATAGTTGTGCTGGAATTGTATTGAAACAGAAAAAAAAACTCAGTTTGCATCGGAGCAGAAGTGTATACCTTAAGTACCTGCATTTGTTTGCAAATCTTCAGTACCTGCATAAATTTGCAGATGTTAATTAGCTGCATTAGTTTGCATATATTAATTAATTAGGCACATAAGTTTGTATAACTACTAAGAAAAATTGAAATAGCTTATTACTTCATTAAATTGTTTCCAGTTATATTGTTTTCATTTAAAGGATATAAAGAATCAGTTCTCTTCTCAAGTAGTTCCATAAATTTTCTTGGAATTGAAATAAAATATAGGTTACGCAGAGAAAATGATATACGGAGTATTTCATAAAATCAAATATAATTTATACAATAAATCCTGTTTATTGTACACATTGGTGAGAGATCTTCTCTTTCTTCTAATCGAAGGAGGTTATTTTACATACCTTAAAGGCTTAAACTACCTCCACCATTTTGCAGGCCTGCTAGAAAATAAAATAAAATGGTGAAACTTACGGAGTGTGAACAATATAGAAGAAAAAGAGGTGTACATATCATCCATGATAAAGGTAAAGTATGATACAGTTAACAACCATAGTTTACCATATGTCAGACTACCTAATTTCACAATTATTATTTTAAAGTTGTATATGTAAATTGACCTGCTGCTGTTGTATTAAGCAGGTAACAAGTCTCAAAATTGTATATGCAATTGTGTGTGTATATATTAGAATGTGTTGATCCTATGTAACATTTATATTAGGCATAAATTTCATATCAAAGTTGGTACACAAAAGGACATTAAGTATAGTGCAGAATGTTGTTACTATTGATTGAAAATGATTTTGTATTTTGAAGCTAATTGATAATAAATTAGAAAAAAATAATGTACATCATAAGATCTGGACTGATTCAGATGTGGATTTTTGAAAAAACACTAAAATCTATATATACAGGACAAAAACCAGATCCAGGCTAAATGTTGAACATTTCACTTCTTATTTAAAAAACGTATAAGATTGTTCCTATTAGAGGTTGACTTAATTAAAGTGGGATTTACAGATTACCATGCATAGTATACTAACAATAACAACATTTTAAGTAAAACAGATTAGAAATTAAAATGCATTCATATAAGAGAAGCTTATTGGTGTAGTTTACAATTAGTAAGAAAAAACACTTAGCTTATCTAGAGCCGCATGATCGGCCAACACAGAAGCCGCCTGAGAGCTCGAAAACTGTGATCGATCGAGGCGGAGTTCTGTGTAGCTTTAGCGGCGTCTTTCGATTGCTGTGTTCGTGATTGGGTTGTAGATCGGGGTGGGTTTGTGGAGTTAGCATCGAATAAGAAAGATGGAGGAATGGGAATTGGGGAGTCTGTATTTGGGGATCGGGTACTGGGTCTATAGGTTTAGTGCTTAGGACTTATTTTTGGGAAATTGGGCCCGGATGTTGGGCTTGGATCGGACTGGACCATGTTTTAGGTTGTTGGATTAGGATCTGGACTGATTCAGATCTAGATTTATATATTAGGATCCTGTTTGGTAGCACGAAAATCGGCTGTTTTGGCTGATTCTGCAGAAATTTATGAAGTTCTGGCTGAAGTGGCTGCTTTGGCTGTTTCTGCTGATTTAAGTAAAAATTATTTTTAAAATATATTTTATTAAAAGATTTTGATAATCCTATAGCAAAAATGGTTGATTGCATTTATCCTTCCTTTGATGTTGTTCATGACGATCCCAGTTATTTACAAAAAAGAGCAATATTGGCACCCACTCTCCAAGTTGATTCCATCAATGATTACATGCTTTCCTTAAATGGTTCTGAGATGAGAACCTATCTTAGTTCTGATAGCCCGTGTAAATCAGATTCAAATCCTGACTTTTTAGCAGATATCCACACTCTAGAATTTTTGAATGGAATTAAAGCTTCAGGATTTCCAAATCATGAACTGCATCTCAAAATTGGAACGCCGGTGATGCTAATGAGGAACATTGATCACTCTCAAGGGCTATGTAATGGGACTAGGATAGTTATTACCAGATTAGGTAAGCATATTTTGGAAGCAAAAGTTTTGACAGGTTTGAGTGCAGGTGAAAAGGTTTTGATACCTAGAATGTCTTTGACTCCATCTGATGTGAGGTTGCCTTTCAAGTTTAAAAGAAGACAATTTCCTTTGATTGTCTCATACGCTATGACAATAAATAAGAGTCAAGGACAATCATTGTCCAATGTTGGATTAATTTTGAAAAAACCGGTTTTTAGTCATGGTCAGTTATATGTTGCGCTTTCACGTGTCACTAATCCCGCAGGTTTGAAAATAGCTATATGTGATGCAGAAGGGAAAAGTACTAATGTAACAACTAATGTTGTATTTAAAGAAGTATTCCGAAATTTGTAAAACATTTTGTTTTGAAATTGTTATTATTCTGAAATTTTAAAGAAATGTTGTTTTCATTTATATATTTATATTGGTAATATTACAGGAGGTCGCTATAATATATACATCTAAAGTTGATTTATATATTAATTTAGCGTTTTAAATATTTAATTTTTATGTTGTGCCATATATTGTTCCATATGATTATTTCCCGTGCATCGCACGGGTAGAATACTAGTTAAATATAATTACATACATTAGATGCTACGTATTTTACTAAAACTAGTATAGTACCCGTGCGATGCACGTGATAATATTCTAATATGTGAATTTGTTTATTTGAATATTCAAAATTAATGTATCTATAGTAAACAAATAAAATTTATATTCAAATTAATAAAATTAGTTATAAAAGATAGAAGCGATAAAATCTGGTAAATGTCTCTCAACATTTACCCAACTCATTTTGGTGGTTGAAAAAAAAGATATAAATGATAAAAATTTACAGATTTTAAAATACTTCATTGTATGTAACATTTATATATGTAAGTTACATTTGTATGTAACCGATAATGGGTGAATAAAGAATTATGATTCACCGATAATTTTGTATCAATAGTCACAATAGGACTCAAATTAGGGGTGGGCATTCGGTCGGTCAGTCAAATAATCGACCGATAACCAAATAACTGACCAAGTTTTTTCACTCTAATAATCGATCGAAAACCGACCGATAACATCACTATAACCCTCTGAAAAATGTAGTTCGGTTTCGGTCAGTAACCGAATAACCGACAATAACCGATCATATAAATTTTTTAAGCATGTTTTTTCAAAAATTTGAATGCTTTAAATAAACATATTAGAAAAATTCATTTGATACAAAAATGGATGAAAATAATTGATGTTTTACACTACAAAAACAAAATGAATGAAATAATTGATCATATATAAAATGCCATTTCTCCATTCATGTAATAAATAAGAAGAAATGAATTAAATTATCTCATAATAAAATTAGTTTTCTTACGCTGCGGGTAGCTTTTCTTGTGCATGAGTCATTTTATCTCTTTTGGGTCAACCAAGAAATACTAAATACATGAAATTTATTAAAATATGAGTGATTTCCTTAAATATTACTATGTACTACATACTAAAGTAAACTTAAATATGACTAAAGTTAACATGAGTATATCATTCATGATTACTATAATATAAAATTGAACACAATCATGAACACAATCATGCACATTAAAATTACAATTATAGTCATAAAGTATGAAAAGACATTTGTATCCACAATATTCAATTTGGTCATATATTTGACATTATTTCTTAAGGTAATTATGATATGTGTTATTAGGGGGTGTTCCCCGACACCCCCTTCACCTCGTGTGGTTTGAACCGGGGGGGGAAAATTATGATATACTACGTATATGTTATTAAGTGAAACATCATAGCATACATGAAGTACATGCAAATGTTTTACGGAGTAGACAATATGAGGGTTTTTGGTTAACCGATCGGTAAGCGATTAAAATAACCGACCATTAAACCGAATAATTAACCGACTTCTCTTTAATATGTAATAACTGATGACCGACCGATAATCGACGTTTGCAGTAGGTTCGGGTGTCGGTTCTCGGTTTTATTGGTTATTTACTCACCCCTAACTCAATTGACCAAAAGAGTGCACGCCATTACAACCCACAAACTGGGGAAAATCTAATAACTTTTTCAAAAAACTAACTATAGGGCGCATACCCACGGTTGCTACTTGCTACTCCCCTAAATGTTTGCTTATGTAAAAACAAAACACCATATACTACTACATGAGTACATGGAGCTACCCAATTATACATCCTCGTAATTTGTAAAGCCTATCTCAATCGAAATGCCTTTCGATAATTTTCAATTGTCAATATTTTTCTTTAATCATGTAACGGAACTATTGGTATGATGTTTTTTAATAAAACCTACGAATTCATTATTTTTCAACATGGAGCCACTCAATTTACCCAGTTAATTTTAAAAAATGACTTCCACTCGACATGGAGCCACTGAATTACAGCATGACTTCAACCCAAATGCTTCTCTCCTAGGTGTTTAAAAAAACTACCAATAATGATAGCTAAAATTGATCAAAACATTTTATCTTTTCTTCCTGAAAGATCGATCGGTACACTGTTTTTTTTGCTCTAGCTGATGTTATCAAAGCATAAGCTAGAAAGCATGCAATGTTTTAGTCATTAAGTATACTCCAACACTCTGACTATAAGATGAAATCACATCTCTTACTGGGCGTCCGGCAAAATCCATTTTCTTAATTGGCTTCCCTAATGTCGTCACTGTCATTCGAAGCATAACCTCACTACCAGCTACATACAATCAAAGTATATATAGTATGCCCGCTCAAAGGTGTACTACAGAACACCCTCAGTGGCCCTCCGGTGGTTTCCATTGCACGAACCCGCCAAGCAATGACTGTACTGCAATTCACATACTATGAAACGAATGAAAGAAAGAATAGCTTGATATTCACTTTTCAATTTTTCTCATACGCTTGGTTTGGTTAGTTGCCTAGTTGGTGCCTTGAATTGGCAGTGTTTGTGCTAACAAACAACTCTCTCTATATATACTCCGCATATGGAATGTGCAGGAGTCATCTAAGGAAGCTGACTGGCCAAATACCCAACAAATTAAATGATTATCGGGTAATCCAAAACTCACTCGAGACTTTGCAATGAATTGAAGCTCCTCGATCTCTACACTTTAGATTTCAACCGTTTGTATTTAATGTTTTCTTTTCTTTTCTATTTTAAATTAAAATCGATAAAGCATGCGTCTTCTTTCAAATGCAAAGGAACTCATGCGTTACGCATATATGCATTGGAACTGACAAAAACTAAAATATACGAAGTTTATTAAATGCAGTACTGTTTGTTTTCTTTTACTCTGATTTTTTTAATTAATGTTCAGGCATGTTGCCATCTATTGTGTTCACACTTCCCGCCCAATTCTCCTTCACACTATTCCGTTTTAATATATATATAGAAGTGCACTGGTCGGAACATTATGATGGAATTGTTGTCCGAACCTTTTTAAAACCCACTAATTAATTTCTTTTCCACACATTTAAGTGATACTCCGTACTACGGAGTATAATTATCCAATAGTGGATCTCAATAGGGAAAAGGGGCAAATAAGCCCTCGAACTAATCAAAAAAGTGCAAATAAGCCCTTTTGTAGGAGGTTCTGTCCGATCATCGTCATTTGGGGAGGTTCTCGGTGGAATTTTTTGATGATTTTTTTTTGAGCATCTTCTTCATTAAGTCTAGTTTAGCCATACCGAATTTCAGCTAAAAATTCAACCGGGAAGGCACTCAAATGATTTTCGGAAATATACTGCGTTGTTTAACTGCGCAGTTATCTTCAAAAATTCAATTGACTGTCTTCCCGGTTGAATTTTTAGCTGAAATTCAGTAGGACTAAACTAGGCTTAATGAATAAGATGCTCAAAAAATTTCATCAAAAAATTCCACCGTGAACCTTCCCAAATAACGATGACCGGACGGAACCTCCTACAAAAGGGCTTATTTGCACTTTTTTTATTAGTTCGAGGGCTTATTTGCCCCTTTTCCCATCTCAATATCATATAAGCTTCCCCCATGACTCCATCTTCACATTTAACATTTTAATTAGGTACTTTTTTCCAATTAAGTTACATCTCTTTAACTGTTGCTTTCTAAATCTCTTCACATTTAGTTGTACTTTTCATTGGGACTGTCTAATGAAATTTGAAGGATCCAATACCAAAAAGTGATTGAAGCTCCTGCTTGGTTTAAGAAAGCGCTTTTAGTCGCCCCTGAAACTAGGTTTGTTAGTGAACGAACATTTATCTAGCAGTTCGAGCTTGTGTTCATTTCGAGCCTTAACGAATCGAGCATAACGAAATTCAAATCCAAATACGAGCTCAATTTACAGTCCGAATGAAAAAACGAGCCGAGCTCGAACATCATGGTTTTTTTTAAATAAAGAAAAACTTTAATAAAATAAAAGAGTACAATGATCATGGGTATTAGTACAAAGTTAAATGAAATAACTAGCTATAGTGAAAGGAGTAAACATATGATAAAAAGCACAAAGAGCAAATTAATAGAAGAAAATCCCACACCATAGCACCACCCTCAAGATAAAATGCGAAGCCCAATGAAAACATCCGCCAACAAGATGTCCCTAAAGATTGTTTATGCAAAAACTCCTCAATATGACCATACCTCAAAATTCCTGAAGCAACAAGAATCCCAACAAACATCCAGAAATCGACCCTACTTCTGATTAGTCAACTTTTTTTCCTTAAGGCGAATACTCCTTCTAGAAACCAATATAGAACTCGATGAACTACAATTTGGATCCCTAATAGAGTAAGTGGGATCTGCCATACGGTCCAAAAGTTCACGGTCTGTGAGAAGCCTTCGTACTGGCGTTGCTTCTAATTCCTCTATCAATACATCCGAGCTTGAAGGAAAGGATACCTAAAGAGGTGTTATTTCTTGAATATCTTCCAATTGAACATTGATCTTCCCAGATTCCATATTTCGGCCCCCTTGAGAAATTTTATCTATGACTATTCCGACATTATCTTCTTTCTCCTCTATTTCGACCAAAACACTATCCAAATTCCCTTTTCCTTCTTAAGTGTCTTCAAGTTCATCTTCCTCGTCATTAATTTCAATATCTCCCGGCGTCGTGATCATACTCTCATGCACCAAAACAACCTCCCTCAAACATCATGGTATTCGGTTTGATACGTTACCGAGCCTATAGAACGTTTACATAATTTCTTTTTACCGGTTGTCCGCTTTAGTAGCTTATCTACTAGAGAGTAATTCGGATACTTATTTATTTACCACTTATCATAGACTCCAATCCTAATACCTAAATACTTACACGGCCAACTCTTAATTCTCCAAAATTAATAGTCTAAAAGTTGAAAATTACTTTAAATTGTAAAATCTTTATCTAAAACAAAATTTAGGGCTTCTTAACCTATTTGCCGACTTCGGCGTGTTTGGAACTGATTCTGCTTCTTTTTTAAAGCAAAAGAAAAGCAGAATCAAAATCAGTTTTAAGAAGCTGGTCTGCCCCAACTTCTAAAAAGCTGATTCTCCCCCAACTTTTGCTACTGCTTCCCCTGAAGGAATAGAAGGAATAGAAGCAGTTTTGAGTTCGAACTTCTACCATCGTGAACGGGTTAGTTTATTTCTGAATTCAAACTTCAAAACTTCAATCTCCTTGAAACATTCAATGATTTCAACCATATAACATTTTGTTCTTACATTTCAACTTTGAGTACTAAATAGGCAGATCAGAATAGAAGTTGGGAACCAAAAGTGCAAGCTTCGAAATCTGGTTCGTACCTTCAGTTCTCTTCAGTATGTATCGATGTGTTTTATCACTTGAATACCGAGTATAAAACACATATATTCTGTACGGTCAATGGTGAGTGAGTTTGTTTATTGTAGAAGATGAGCATGAATTGCATTTTTTTAAGCACTAACAGCTGCACTGGCTGCACTAAGAACACACTATTGTATTGTATAGTATGATTATGTATTGTTGAGTCCATTTCCATGTAAGATGCTTTAATGACAAAGGGAAAGTGAAATGAGAAAATATTTCAAAGATGTGTTTATTATTTTACTATGTAGAGAGGCATGGGTATTCCTAAATCCTGATGTTTTGAAATTGAGTCAAGAGCCCTATTTAAGTTTTCCTTTATTATACTAAGTATTAAAAGTAGTCAGGTAGACTTTATGGCAACTATGTATTAAAGTTATCTTGGTGGAATAAGAAACAATCTTGATCCAAGCACGTATAGTGACCTAAAATACAAAAGTACACTCCAGGCATGATGGAGTTACTTTCATCATAAAATTGGTCGAGTCACTTTAAGAAATGACTGCATCAAAGTTTGTGAGCACAAAAGATCAGAAAAAGGTAAAATCTATGCTCTCTAATGTTTCAAAGATTAGTTTGACGACTGATTTTTTGGAAATCAAAGAATCAAAAGATTGATTACATGGTAGTCACATGTCATTTTCTGTATTCTGAGTAGAAGCTCAACAAATGGGTGCTGAATTTTGTTTATATTCTACCACCGCATAGTGGCAATAATATTTCAGATGCTTTAATTTGTACAAGTGTGTGAAAGATTGGGAAATCGAGAACAAAATTTATACTATATCATTAGACAATGCTTTAGCAAATGACAATGCTAAAGCATGTACTTGAGGGAAATCTTTGCGATGAAGAAAGAATCCCTACTCCAATATTTCTTATTTGCTGTTACCAATTTTCTGCAATTATTCTAGAACCGCAACAATTAACTTTAATTTTAAATATGTATCACTTGATACAGTTAAACAGATCACCGCAACAATTGAATGTCGAATTCGAATTATTCGTTGCGGTCCATCCGTGTACTCTTTTGCAATCGCTAAGATTAAATACATACATATACAATACTATAAAGAATACATACACCAAGCAAATATGTTCAAAAGTTTAGTTCTTTTGCTATTAGCAAGTACACCAGGTTTAGTTCTTTTGTTGTTTACTCTTACCAATTACACAAAGTTACTTTTTCTCTACCAAAAACTTACTAATGATCCCCAGTGCAGCAAATAAGCATTATATTAGATATCCAAGCAACTATGTTCAAAATCAGGAGCCAAACTAGTTTATATGTCCAAAGATATTAAAAAGCAAAATAGACAAATACAGTGAGCAACAATTCATAGTCCAATCAGTAATTCACAAAACTTCTTGTGACTTATCCACTGCATTAAAACTTCTTGTTTGATAATCTATGGTATTGGTAGATTAATTATTTTCGGTTCATATGTAAAAGAGAAACTTGGATTATGAAATGAGCATCATAACTTTTTAATCATAATCATTGTCAAGAATAAATTTGAAGTCACATAAGCTACTCACTTTACCTTTTCTTTCACCCCATGAAGATTTATTAGCCAATCTCCTCCACAAAGTAGCGCCTCTACTATCTGAACTGATAGTGATGCATGATATGCATCAATTACTCTTGTTCCAGTACTAAGTGTAGCCTCAAAAGCCACTGTAGTTATCGGAATCACCAAGTTATCAGCTGCCATTTTTGAAAGAACATGGTACATACTTTGATTTGTTTACTCTCCACCAAGCTAAGATATCAAACAATTCAGATGATCCTTCTGAGCAAATATAGCAATCATCTTTAAATTACATGTCCAAATCTGTTCTATTTGGCCGAATAGTCTCTACTTTCACATATGCATGCAACTCATCAAAGTCGGATGCTAATGAATTCATTGTTGAAGAGGACTGAGAAGAACTAAACTTTCTCTTCCTTATTTTCACCCTTGGATCAAGAACAACAACGATAGACATGAGTAAATTGCACTCTCCCCAATATTTGTCAAACATTTTCTTCATTTGGCAGACCATATCCTTCACAAACGCAGTTCCCCTATTGTCTAAGCTTTGTCTAATCTTACAAACTCCAAGCAGAAAAAGGTTGCTCATTAGGTATTCACTTTCAGATATGATGTTGGTCAGATTAGAGAAAATCACCAAAACATCAAGAATTTTCTCTACCTTCTCCCAACCTTCTCTTGATGGACATGACGTGTGACTAGGTTCCTTTCTTTGATATAATGGATATACATCCTTAAACACATACACATAATGCAACATATACTTCGTATATCATATGTTGAGTCCAACGTAAAGCTTGTTTTGCAATCAAGTATGAGTTTTCTGCCAGACACTTGCATTTGTTTGACAACTTCACAAAAAGTGTTCATTAGGGCTTCCCTTTGATTAAGAAAAGAGACACTATCCCTTATATCTTGTACTAAAGTTATCTTCCTTTTGTATATCAATTTGCAAGAAGAAGAGAAGTAAACTTCTCTAATTAGCAGTAGCGGCAATTGATATCAATGAATAATCTAATCGGTTTGTCAATTTTAAGAAAATGAAACAGGGTAGAAAGCTTGAGATGAAATTTGTGCAAACTATACATTTTATGAATTTATGCCGTTCGGTATTCTCCCGAAACAGTTTATATCCTTGAATCTTAAAGGTCTTTAATTTCCATCATGTAAAAAATGAAGAATAAAAATATAAAATACAAACTCATATATTTAGTAAAAAGAGATCAAATTGAGTTGTCCCTTGCCTCACTCGTGTTCTCTAAGTATTTAAATTGTACGTAGTACTCAATATATAGTCAATACCATGGATTTGGTTTTGTCTAAAACCAAAAAAACCGTAAACCAAGTTGTTGTTTTCTTACGTTGTTCCGTTTTCATCTATGAATACTTTTACGTGTAGTATTAAGAGTAATCTCTTATATATTCCAAGTTAAAAATTTATCATATATGGTGATGGTGCAAAATTGATTAATTGATCATATATTTAAACCGAGTGCATTAAATATAATGTTGTTTACATAGAGTTTTATAATAATGAGAATATTATCCGAAATAGGACTAAAAAGGTTTGAAAATTCCAAAATAGGAATGACATGTTATTATTCCCAAAATAGGACTAATTACTGTCATGTTTTGGCAGTACCAAACCTTCAAACATGGCAGTATTTTCCAAACTTGATAGTAATTACTCCTATTTTGGGAATAAAAAACATGACAGTCCTATTTTGGAATTTTCAAACTGTTTTAGTTCTGTTTCGAGAACTTTCCCTATAATAATGTGTACGAGTAGGTTTTACCTATATTTATTTTTATAAAGAAAAACAATATATGTGATGTTTTACTTTTATCATCATAACATTTATTTATCCTTTTCAAATATCTCAATGCTTGCTATCTCAATGCACCGGTGAAATATCCAGTTTGACTAATAATGACTACAATGTATTGTCACGGTAAAAGTTTACAATTGAATATAAGTTACTATGATTACATTCAGGCTCTGTTTGCAATCACTTAATACAAGTGATTGTGGCTTTTTTTTTTTTAAGAAAAAACACTTATTTTATCAAACATTACCAATTTTTACTTTCTCGGTTTTCGTGTAGAATCTATTTTTTTACTTATTCTGTTATACAAAAAACATTTATTTTATCAAACACTTCCTACTTTTACTACTAATCACTTTTTCCCAAAAAGTATTTTTATTTAAACACAAGTGATTGCAAACAGAATCTCAATGGTCTATCCAGAAATTATTGTGAGTAGGGGGAACTCACATTATTAAGAGGTCATTTGACAATACTGTTTTTATGATTATGATGAAAGCATAATCACTGAAAGTTTGTTATAACGTTAGTTTATGTTATACAGAGTAGTTTATGTTTATGCTTTGGCGTTTTTCTTTTCTTTTTTTCAAATTAAAATCTAGAAGTCGTTTTATTTTCATGTGAGCAATGTGCTTGATAAAATGTTAATGACAATGTTGTACTAGATTAAGTTTTTATCGCTTGAACTTTGGCTATTAATATTTCCGACTTCTATCTGTGAGAATAAGTTGTTCTTCCTATGTTTATTTTTTAGCAGACACTAGGTAATACTTCATGAACAGAATTTTATGATTAGCGTCTCATCCTTCGAAATCCTTAAATTCTTCTCTTTGATTAGATGTGGATTTGAAATCGAAATGCTTAAGATTCCTCATCTTGTTTAGTGAATTGTAGATTTTATGCATTGTTATAACTGTATATGTTAAGTTAATAGTAGTACAATTTTATATTAGGGTGCTTTTGACCCAATGCAAATTATATATGCATTATTTTCAAATTTCTTTTGAAACGTGGGGAGATAATCAGGTAATGAGCAATAACGTTTTATTTCCTTTACACTTTCCACTTAGAGTTTTTTTCCGTATTAATGCTAATTAATTAAGTATTTACGAAAATAGGGTTGAGTTAAAAGTATTTACGGATATACTGTTGGGCTTAACCCTGGTCGGGGAAAGTTGCCAAATGGTTTGGCGACTTTCCCCGACTAGGGTTAAGCCCAGCAGTATATCCGTAAAGAAGTCGCCCAACGGTTTGGCGACTTACCCATAAATTAAAGAACCGGGTTAAGCTGGAGAGAGAGAGAGAGAGAGAGAGAGAGAGAGAGAGAGAGAGAGAGAGAGGCAAAATTGTCTTTTAAAACCCGTTGAATTTTACGACTATCGTGTCCGCAGGTCGCCCACGCAAGGTGGTGCGAATTTTCAATTCTGAACTGAAAGCCGGAATTCTTGTGTACGCGAGAGCTCCCCTATTCTCCTTCACCTTTTAATTCTAAGAGAGGAGTGATTCATATTTATAGGCTTCAAACTTCTCAAGAAGTTTAGGTGTGGGAAAGTTAAAGAAGATCACTTTCCACCTTTGCTTAAAAGTGTACACTTTTCCATCTTTCTTTTTCAAGAGCAAATTTGAGCCACTTCAAACTTCAAAGTTCAAAACTCCAACACCAAAGGTCAACACTACAATCAAAGCTTCCAAAAGTCAACATTGAGATTTAAAAAAAATCAAGGTTAAGACTATTTTTCTCAAACTCCAAGCTACATTTCAAGGTCCAAGAATTTGCAGTTTGATATAAGACGCTATATCAAAAATCAAAAGAATTTGAAAAACTAAGGTTGTTCACTACAATTAGAACGTAGTAATATCATTTACAAGCATAATATCAGTAGTACATTTTAGGAGCTGATGGTGTCTGAGGTAGATGACGAAGCCTCACCATTTCTCCATAATCCAATTTTACCACATTTTTTAATATATAATTTAATCCTAAAATGCAGGGGTGTTTGCGCATTATTTTTTTAAAATGGTGCTGAACTGCTTCATATTGGGATGAATACCAATAACATGTCCAACAATAGTCCCTGAGTATCATGCAAATTGGGCTCATGGTTTGTAAGTTTTGGCACTTTAAAGAGGACAAGAAGACGGTCCAAGCTACAGAAAATACAGTCGGACAGTCAAGTTAAAACAATTTTAACCTTTACGGTAGATATTTGGATTGTACTCTGTATCTAGTATTTTTATAGTATAGCAAATTATCAACCACGAGTTCTGGACTTCTGGTGTATTTTAGTTCTCTATATGGCTATCTTTATGTATCTTATTTTTTGTATGACTCCTTGGAATTGCACATTTTCTATCAATAATATTCTACTTTGGACACAAAGAATGGTGTGAAAAAAATTCAATTACAGCCCTGACCCCAAATTCCACTGATGTCCAGCCTCTTATATATCCTCTTATGAGTCTGGGAAACTAACAAAGGAGTAGAAAATAACGACCATCTCTAGTCTTACTAAGCATAAATATTATGCCAACACACCTATGACGTGCACTTGTCGTGAGGTGCACTCAAAATAAATAATACAATACAACACTTATACGTAGTATAGCGTAGTAAGGTTCGTATCCACAGGGAAAGGAATACTTCTCTTTTTATAACTAGTAATAAAGGGGGGGTTTAGATTTGTTGTTGAAGAACTTTTTAGAATATTAAAACACAAAGATGAACGAGTTATGTGGTTTAATTAATGAGAAGAAGACTTGGTTTTGCTTTTATCCACTTAATGAAATGTTCATCGATCCCGGTTATATCTTTAATTATCTTCCTCTCGAATACTCAATCGAGGAGTATATCCAGTTCATCGAGGGTAGTTATTAATAACGAGAAACGTTCATTAATAAAACTTACTACCGAGTCAATATAGAACAAGCGCCGTATATTAACTTGATAGTAGCAATAAAATCAAGATGAAAACGATTGAGATTGATAACCTCAACACAAGCGGTTTATTGGTTTAATCAATATAATTAATTCCCCTTGGTTTATTAACCATGAGAAGCATGCATTAATAACCCAAGTTTACTACCGTGAAAGGACCGAATTAATAACAAGCGTATTAACCGACCGATTCTAGTAATAATTAATGTATAGAACAAGACTAGTTGATACTTTAAGTAATGCTCAATATATTAATATGGAATAAGAATAGGAAGTAATCAATATTCAAGGAAGAAGATTAAAGAAAATAACTCACAACTTACAAATCATTAAGCTTCAAAGTAGCAAAACCAAGATGGAAGAGTTTAGCTCCTCATTTGGAGACTAAACATGATGAAAAATATAAAGAAAGAACTTGTCTAAACTGAGCTAAGAAGTATATGTGAATTGGTGCATCTATTGTGTAGGAAAGGAGGTGTATTTATAGGCTTTTTTGGGGTGCAGGTCGGGTACTCGATCGAGTATATATATGTACTCGATCGAGTATGTGTAGAAAGCTGAATTCGATCCATACTCGATCGAATTTAGAGTAGAATTCATAGTTATACCCGATCGTGTATGTCGGTGTACCCGATTGGGTATAGACACTCGATCGTGGGGAAATCTTCTTCTGCATGTTCCTTTGTTTTCGGATCCGATCCGATTTGAAATTTCAACCAGATACTCGATCGAGTATAAGAGATACTCGACCGAGTATAGACAAAAATCAGGATTTCCTTCTTTTGTCTTGAGATTTTGCACCTTCTTTCCACTTTTGGGGTTCACCAACTGTCCTTGAGTGATGTTAGACCTGTTTGAGCTCAGAATAAACCTAATCTAAACAATTTACAAGAATTTAACAAACTAAACTATTACACCGAAAGTGTGTAATTTCCGAAATACTAAACAATCAAAACTAACTAAAAATGTAAATAAACACACGGACATTACAAACGCATCAACTCCCCCACACTTAGTTCTTTACTCGTC